TCAACACTTCTGCCAACCTCTCAGTTCTCACCTGTAGATCATCGAGTTTTCGCGATACTAGACATTGTACACAAATCATCATCGGCGAAATCCAAATCTTCTACAGTCTTGTCATCGATCAAACAACCAGTGTATGCTCATTCTCTCACTCCTCACAGTTGTCGGTTGCCTGATCCAGTCCAGTACAGTCCAGTACAGTACAGTACAGTACAGTACAGCACAGCACAGTACAGTCGAGTCGACCACAATCAGGAAGATCATCATCAATGATGGTAAGCGGCAACATTATCTTGTCTTACTCCCGTCTTCACTTCACTTCTAAAGTATCACTGAGCTGTCCATCGTCAGTCACTTGGCATGTAGCATCATCACATAGCACATGGCTATTCAATGAGGTTGATAAATGTTTGTGTCACTAAAACCGTAGTGTTGAAGCAACTGCCTACCAAACTACTTCTCGGTCGACGCTTCGATCGAAGGCCTTTTCAAAATCGATGGAGTTGGGGTAGAGACTTGACTGTCGTCCCATGCTCTGTTTCATGATGATGCTCAGCGTAGCGTTGTAATTTGATCCACACATGATTTGTTTTTTCTGAAGCCAGCCAGCCAGCCAGCCTGTTCCGGTCGTAATTTTGAATGCTGAGCATTGTTTAGTCTCTCTAGATTGATGCGGCTTAATATTTTACTTCGGGTGGATAGGAGCAAACCTCCACGCCAATATTTTGGCTTGTTGTTGTGCTAAATAAAAATTTGGTAAAAGTTAGCCATACTTTCATCATTGATTTCTGATAATCTCAGTTAAGTAGTTTGAAGTTTAGAGGGATTAGTATCGTGAAGTTCTAATGAAAAAACCATGAGTAGTTGGATTGACCAGTTGAGAGCCTTGAAGACCTTGTTGAGAGATAGTCGTGTAATATGGTGAGTTGGGAGATGTTAGAGACTTTGAATCATTGAACTGCTACCCACTAGTTAAATCATCAAGGTGTCCATCGTATAACCTGAAGGGGTTGAGTTTGATCCCTGGCGTGTAAGAAGTCATGCTTGCGTACTGCTTAGGATTCCCATACTAGGACGAAGCAAATGTAGAATGCCCCCCTCCTAGGTTTTCACTAGATCTCCAACTGATGTTAGTTCAGTATAAAATACAACCTTATATATGTCAAGATGAAATTGGAAAAAAGAATAACGAAGCTGGATAGAGAACTTTACTTCACAACATTCATTGGTTGACTTGTAAACGTGCAGAAAGTGTTTCGATTTAAACTCCCTACATCCCTCGGTCTACCTGTGATAGACATAAGTTCCAGTGAAAAGAGATTCCTTATGAGAGAAGCTCAATCATGATTATTTCATTAGTCAGTCAATGTTTATCGATTCTTAGTGGGAACAACATCACTGGCTAGGGGGTAGTTACGAATAGCTGATGAGTCATTAATGTGACGAAACACTTGTCGTAGGTTTCACTACTAACCATCATCCATTACTACTTGGTTTGATTAGCTAACTGGTTACGTTTATGACTTCATCAATGAGTGGTTCAACCTCAAATTGTCGACGGAGGATAAGTTTCCTCACGGTTTCTGATACAGCCTGATAATGAATGCCAACAGGTACATCATGGCTTACTGTTGATCAACTTTCACTTTCACAAAGATGAGATGGATATCACTTTCCAGAGGAAAGATTCATGAGTGTATTTTGTTGAGAATGATCAAATTGTCAATAATTCCTCTACTGATGTTGAAACAATCAACCGTCTCACTTGGCTTTACTAATACACATTTCAAATTTCATGGACGTATATACACAATGAGTTACTTGAAATTTCTCTAGGCAAGCGAAGCTAAGCATATTGAAAAGATCTTCTTGGCTGGTTAATTCAATAGTTATTCAGTAAGCAAGATAGGAAGGAATAATTTGATTTCAAAGCAACTGTCATCATAGAATGATATCGATTAGAGAACCATTACGAACACAGTATCATTGAACTCAAAGTTCCCATATGCTTAGTATTGTATGTCTCTGATAACTCAATTGTTTGCATTTGAATTTTATGAAGATTGGATTACAATTTGTAATCTCTGGTTGTTATAGTATAGAATAAGATTGCCAAAATCTTCATAAGAAGCTGTAAATCCCTGAAGTCTTTTACAACTAATCATTTTACTCCAGAGTCTAGGGAGAAAGCATATGACATAATGTGTGAATACGTGATTGGTTAAAACGACAAAAATCAATAAAATTTTCTATTCTAGAAACGCTTAGAAATCGTCAAGGCCATTGTAAACATATATGAACCATTGTATTTTGTATACGTTTAGACGTTGCAATACACCTTCTGTTTGCTTTCTGATCGACTTTTTCCATTTACTGAGGAAGTGATCAACCATTATAGGATGGAATCTGAAGGTAGTTTTTTAAAGGCCCACACATATATATGCAATGCAGGTTATATCGAGTGGAGGCTACATGAACATAACGGTGGGTTGGTTCAATTATATGTCTTCAATTGAGAGGAGCTGGAGAGTACGGACAATAGAATTCTCATTCAATGGATAAATGATGACATGTTCACCTGAAGATTTGATGGTTGTCGGATTATGCCTCTAAGTGAATTCAAATCAGAATACAACAACTGTTCAGTGTTCAACGACCACCTGCCCTATATCAATCCATAGTGATTAATGTTACACCATGCGATCGTTGTTGAAAACTGATAACTGTTTAATCAGTTGAGTCAAACTAACTTTTCCAGGTATTAAATGAAATAGTAAAACAATTTTGGGGATTTGTAGGGTAGTATTCATCATGGACTGACATCATTTTGAAAAGCATTGGAAATCTAGGAGTGCTGATCAGCTTTTTCTTCCTACTATGAGACTCCTCAGCAGTATACACCGTCTAACTCACGATTCATGGACGGAACCCATGACTTTCAGGTTCTGCGATCAGACTTGGCCCCCCCCCATCGGTTGCAACTTCTTATTAGAACTTTCAATAATCCCATACTAGGGTGGATCAGTTGTCTAGTCCCCCGCTGCAGGTTTTCACTACTTCTCCAACTCATACTGCCTCGAGAATAGTCAATCAATCTTTAGATACTGTTGCAGTTTCTGAGGCTAATTTTTAAAATGTCACTTGAAGGTACACCTTTGTTCAACCGATACAGCTTTCTTCCTATTCAGATACGTAGTTTGTAAAGCCTAATGGAACGGTAGTCATTACATATGGTACACCCTGCACTAACCCAGTCATTTGCAAAATGCGCTTCGTTTCCTCTTCTGTTTCTCTCTTGATTTGATCTTCATACATTCTTATCAGCAGCATCTACTGTAGTACGTCTGCGATATTTCCTGTGTTGCTCTTGACCGAATCCTCACCCATTGCTGGTAATTCTCTATGATTTCTGCCACCCTCTCAATATATACTACTTATATCTATTCTTATCAGTAACGCTCACTACACTAATAGCTGTACTAATTTCGAAACTTTCGCCTGTTAGAATGGCTAGTAGAGGCAGAGTCTCTTTAGAAATACAGAAAGTCTGTTGAATATTCATCAACCTGAAGTATCTGTAGTCCGCATAAGATGTTGAAGCATCTACCAGGATGCTTGCATACTGAGCAACAAACCCTCCATATCATCTTAATGTCTCTTACGAAAAGCTTCTTGAGTCGGAAGATTTAGAGATATTGGTGTTAGTCGTTTGAAGTCAATTGGTAAAAGCTATACTCCACCTCCTTTCATACTTATTAACTGTTATCAGTAAGAGGTATCTAATAGTGTAAGAAAACTGGGGTTCCCTGAGTAATCCAATAGAACCCCCTGTGAGGAAAAGGTTAGTGAGTGAACTGTTGACCTACACCAACTGAAGTTGATGGAATGGGCATAAAACAGGTAGACACCACCTACTCCAACCTAAAAAAGCAGCTGGAGTTAATCATTAACGAAAGACGGCTAGTGTCAACCCTACTAAAAGGATACCCATCTATGAGGCCACTAAACATTGGTGTGAACAATGCCCATCAACTAAGGCTGCTTTGCCGAGTTCTCCGAAAAACAGACTGCTAGGAATCACCAGCACCGCATCATGGATAAGGAGACAAGTTAATGTGGCCACCAATGCTGTAAAAGTTGTGAGTCTTTGACTTTTCTCAAAATCTCTTCGTCTCCATCCATTTACTTCTTCTTTACCCGAAAACTTATGATGTCGTAACGAGTTTCTTCTTGTTTTCTTCTATGGAATGTAATAATTAATGAGATGATACACTGATGATGGACAGTGGCTAGCAGTGGAATCCAAATTGATACGCGTTTCGTCCTATCCCTTACTCGTCAGCTGGATGCATTCGCCTCCCAGTCAACGATGTTATTCTCACTAAAACTTGAACTGGGGGCCGATAGCTTCAAACATCAGAACGTTATCCACTAGACAACTGAGTCACGATAACCACTTCTTGTGTTATGGGTGTAGTTTTATTGTTATTACTTGTATTGTCCCATCGTTCAGTGTACCGAATTAGTTTGTCTTTTTTGGCATGTGTACTCTTGTGTGGATGTTAACTGAGGAGTCCTATATAGGACGAAAAGCATGTCAAGCTGGACTCCATTGCTAGCCATTATCCACCATGAATATATAATTCAAACACAGGCAATATAGAGGCATCCATCCAGGAGCCCATATGCCAACAGATACCTATATATTCGGATCAATCAATGACGGGATAATAAAGGCAGCAACATTGAATGATACAATATTTTTTAAATAGTCTAGGCCAATGGTTGTTTCACTTGTAAAAGAAAGTGAAAGAATAATGAGTTGAAACTGACCTCAACTCATGATGTTTCTGACAGCCTGTTGGCACATTTCAGCTGTAATTTTAGTCAGTTGGTTGACCAAGGTCATGACTAGTTGACTCCATATGGTGTAATTCTTTTTGACCAGATTTCTGTCTACCATCTTACCCTATAATATTCTGTTCTTTATTCTTCAATTTTAGACCAATTAAACGTTGGAGCTGAACAGAAAGGTCAACAAGAAAGTGGTTCCAATATGACTAAAAGTTGCATCAGTCAACTGTTAAACACATCTCCGTTGACTGCAAGCACAACTATTGATCCAAATATGCGTAATTCTTTTCCATCCAGCACTGTACATGAGTTAGGACAACAGCAACAACAACATCAGTTGCGTAAACGTTATACTTGTCCAGATTCAACGCTTAGTCGGAGTACACCTGTAAATAACTCCTACCGAACTGATCAAGTGAGCAAGCCGATACCTATTTCCAATACAACACAACATTCATTAACCATTACAACATCTGTTTCTTGGCTACCTTCTTTAACAGTTCAGCATCGACATTCTACCTCATTATGCACAACAGCCAATGAAAGCGATGTACATACTACACCAAGGAGTTCCGTCATCTCATCTTCTATTATTATGGTCAACAGTGCCCCCACCACTACCACTACCACCACTACTACCACAACTACTCTATCTTCCATCCCTACTCCTAGTCATACTAATAATTTAGTGATGCACGGTCGTAGTAGTTCTACAACCCCGGATATTAACATTATGAGTCCAAGTTCATTATCAGCTCAACCGACAAGTCCATCAATTTCAATGCTACATAGATTTAACAGTAATACAGGTCTATTGAATACCCTCAGTAATGCTGCATACAGTACAGATAAAACAGATTATGGTAATTTAGATTTTCGTTTAATATGGGAACCTAAAAATGGTCAACCAACTAGTATATGGCTTGTTGCCTCAACATTACAAGAAAAGGCTGCATGGTGTTCAGATATCAGTCAGGTGAGTTTAAAATGGTAACATTTTCTACAAGTTATATCTTCCTATTGTCATATTTTCCCTTTAGTTGTTCCTCATCTGAGTAGTAACTATCAAAAGAGAGAGCTTAGGGATACAGCCTGTGACCACTATCCTTGGTGATACATGTTCAAAGCTTCGAAAGAATACTGGCTTCCTCTTGCTTATAGACACACTGTACTAAAGAGTACCAGCAGGCATGACATCTTAATCAGACAGCATAGAGTGTAAATCAATAGTACTTTGCTAGAAGTTCGCTTTCATTTGTCAAACAATGTTATTGCCAGTAATTTTCCATCGTTGATTGAAATGATCGTGACTCACTGTCCTTGTGGATAACGCTAAGGCATTTGGATTGATAGACCCTGGGTTCGAGTCCCGGTATGAACGATATCAACCATGGGGAGGCAGTCGATGAGTCTCAGATGGGACGAAACGCACATCCTGCATCCATTACTAGCCCCTAAGCATCATTATTATCAAGATAATGTTGTGTTCGTAGGCTGCATCTTGAAATAAGAGTTATACAAGTTTACTTATGTAACAGCTGTTTCCTGTGGTGTTTTAGAAAATTGCAACTTTATGCCGACAGATGCCTTGCACTATCGGCAGTCATCAGCGTAAATCGCTTGCAAACTAGCGACAGGTTATGCTTTCCCTTAAAAAAAAGACTCATTGCTACTTCACATAGCATCAAATTTAAACACCTAGCAAATAGTTTAATCGAATAAGATTGAGTTAGGCACAGTTTGTAGATATTGGTCAGTATCATATTGATTTCCCAGTATCGCTGATTTATGCCGATCCACTTTGCGATTTGACCCATTTCGATTGTCGTAGATTTGACTTAATTAATGGATAAGATATAACTTAAACATAGACATAAAAGATGGAGGGAATGAGAAGGAGGTTGTTAACCTTCATCGACTGAAATGACTGAGACGTGGGATATGTATGCCTCGTTATTGTCTCCCCCATAGCATTATGGTAGCCAGGGTAGGTACAGGCTGGTAAAAGGTTAGAAGTGACCAGATTAGAAAATGACATCAGTTTATGAAGTCTTTGACTATTGGTTTGAACTGTGTAGAGAAGTTTAGACTCTCTGGTTTAGTATTCGCGTTTCAAGGTAATACGGCTCACCTTCAATCTCACTGGCGTGAATCCATCTAAGCATTATCTTAATCGCGCTACTGAATTTTGCCCTTATTTCTTCTTCTCCATTTCTCTACTTGGAAACCTACTGCTCTTCTTCATCAGGAAGCCTTAATGTATTCGAAAACCAGTTAGACTTTTAATATTTCGTAATCCTAGTTGTTGAAACTATAAAGCCGATAAGCAAAGATCGAAGAAGACCCTTATTTATCATTAGACCTGGATTTTGTCACTAATTCCAATCCTGCCATGCCGCATATTTTTATTCCACCTTCTATTGTCATCCCAGTATCAATTCAAGATCTCAGGTGGGAATTCATTATGGATTGACGTCAGTTGGAGGAATATTGAAAACCTGAGAGCACTGGACAGCTATGCTTTGTCTTAGTACAAAACTCCTCAAGAGAGAGCACCCACGACCTCGTCGCACCATGGATCAAACCCAGGACTTTAGGATTCCACGACCAGTACGCCACCTTTGAGCTGATAGTCCATAGTTCCCTGACAGGGTCATCGGCGTGCACCGCTGAGGAGTTCTAAATTTCCAGTGTTCCTCCATTTGATAAATTTCTACAGACCTCCAGATTTGAATCATCAAAAATTGTCAATAAATTCACAAGATGACTGAAAGGTCAGCACAAGGTCAACCAGAATAACCCAGGTGAAATTAGATATTGAACGTATCTTTTTTAAACATATGGATGATTCTAGGGGAGTAGAGTGACCAGAGCTCAAAAGTAGAGCTGTTAATCACTTTGGCTTCTCTTTTATTACATAAATCGCTTACTCTACTCTTATTTGATGCCAAATGATTTTCCTTGACAATGATATCATCTGATGAGGTGGAGGACGTCGGGATTGGGAGTGATCGGAAATAGTTGTCAGCTCATAGTTCATTAGCAAAATAGATGAAGACAAAATCCGTCTACCTTTATCAGGCTGAAATATGGTACAAAACGGACTCAGTTGTCTGTGCACAGCTTTAATGTTCAGTTAGGTTGTTTCTTCTCGAGTATTGGCATATATTTTGCAGATGATTCCAATGTTCGGCAGATATGGACGAAAGTTTTTCTCTTAATAGCTGACAAATAACCAAACGGTACTATTGAAAATTGTTGCCTTTCGATAGTGTCGATCGAAAAGTAATTTGGCAGCTGTTTAAACACTACGGTTTGAGGTTAGGGTTAGGGTTTTAAGATGGACACCTTGATGATTTAACTAGTGGGTAGCAGTTCTATGGTTAACAGCCTCTAACATCTCCCAACTCACCATATTACACGACTATCTCTCAACAGGATCTTCAAGGCTCTCAACTGGTCAATCCAACTACTCATGGTTTTTTCATTAGAACTTCACGATACTAATCCCTCTAAACTTCAAACTACTTAACTGAGATTATCAGAAATCAATGATGAAAGTATGGCTAACTTTCACCAAATTTTTATTTAGCACAACAACAAGCCAAAATATTGGCGTGGAGGTTTGCTCCTATCCACCCGAAGTAAAATATTAAAAGCCGCATCAATCTAGAGAGACTAAACAATGCTCTGCATTCAAAATTACGACCGGAACAGGCTGGCTGGCTGTCTGGCTTCAGAAAAAGCAAATCATGTGTGGATCAAATTACAACGCTACGCTGAGCATCATCATGAAACAGAGCATGGGATGACAGTCAAGTCTCTACCCCAACTCCATCGATTTTGAAAAGGCCTTCGATCGAAGCGTTGACCGAGAAGTAGTTTGGTAGGCAGTTGCTTCAACACTACGGTTTTAGTGACACAAACATTTATCAACCTCATTGAATAGCCATGTGCTATGTGATGATGCTACATGCCAAGTGACTGACGATGTACAGCTCAATGATACTTAAGAAGTGAAGTGAAGACGGGAGTAAGACAAGATAATGTTGCCGCTTACCATCATTGATGATGATCATCCTGATTGTGGTCGACTCGACTGTGCTGTGCTGTACTGTACTGTACTGTACTGTACTGTACTGTACTGTACTGTACTGGACTGGACTGGACTGTACTGGACTGGACTGTACTGTACTGGACTGTACTGACTGTACTGGACTGTACTGGACTGGACTGGACTGGATCAGGCAACCGACAACTGTGAGGAGTGAGAGAATGAGCATACACTGGCTGTTTGGTCGATGACAAGACTGTAGAAGATTTGGATTTCGCCGATGATGATTTGTGTACAATGTCTAGTATCGCGAGAACTAGATGATCTACAGGTGAGAACTGAGAGGTAGGCAGAAGTGTTGATTGTAAGCAGTGAAGAGTTGACACGGTTGCGGTGAAGATAGAGAAGACAGAGATGATGAAGATACTCAACCAATAACAACAACAAACACATTCACGATCAGCAGGCTTTAAAGGTATTTTATCACAGAGTAGCATGAAATCCTTGGGGAATATTATTGGCTTTCCACTTCCAGTATCGATAAGTAATGACTAGAGCTTGCCAGACTCAGTATTAAAATTTACCAACAAATAGGACTGACCATTGTGAACTGTTGACTGAGATAGTGGTTCCATTTAGTTGACACATCAGAAGAAGCATGTGAAGTCTTAGGAATCAGCGTATTTGACCGTCTGCAGATGGTATTTATGTATTTAATTTAACCGCATGTGTGACCTTTCGCAACATGAAGACTATAAGAATCTTGGAAGTGGAAATTTTCCATAGGAATATCACGGCTTGCCATATGTTATTCGGATGGATACAATTGGCAGGAACCCTAGCCTGATCTGTGTTTCACGTTTGTTGGAAATCGTCAGTAAGGGGTACAGCAACCTTCCTGGACTGATGACTCGCCTGTGGTTCAAACCCATGTCATCTAACATTGTAATCAGCAACATTATCACTGAGTTACTCGATGCACAACTAACCTTCTGTAGGCCTGAGCTATATACATTCACTGGCCACATGAGAGCAACCAATATCATGTTGTCTAGTCCTGAGTGTACATCGAATTCTATCGATGATATTTGCAATGTGACCAGTAAGCTAGGAGGCTCAGTGCAGATTGGTAGATGCTAGTTGGTTGGAAGAAATCAGTAAGAATCCCGCTTGACCTAGGTTTGATGATTTTTGGCAGTTGCCAGCAAGGTTTATCTTCAACCTTGATGAAAATGACGTCTGGCATGAAATTTGAGCACACGTCACTCAGTTCTCCAACTAGAGACGATACAGCTGAGCTATTTGACACTACATTATCTCGAGTTAGTTTTTATTGTTCCGTGTATGCAATTCATCACACATACGTGTGGTTTCTGTTTCTTGTTATGATTCCTAACTGTATTATGAACTCTAGAGAGCAATACAGCAGACTGATCATCGTTAACATTGTCGTAGGTGTTCCATTAGTCTTCGGCGTTCTGAAATGTAAAAAGGGGTAACTGAACCAACTGTCTCTATCTGTCTTCCTGTAAAGTTTTGGAACTGTAAGACCGTGCGTTAGTGACGTATGGGGGCTAGCAGTGGAATTCAAATTGACACACACTTCGTCCTATCCCTGACTCGTCAGCTGGATGCAGCTGCCTCCCAGTCAACGACGTTGTTACCACTAGAACTTGAACTGGGGCCGATAGCTCCAAACATCAGGACGTTATCCACCAGACAACCGAGTCACGATAACCACTTCTTGTGTTATGGGTGTAGTTTTATTGTTATTACTTGTATGATACCGTTGCACAAGAAGTGGCTATCATGGCTTGGTGTTCTAGTGGGTAACGCTCTGATGTTCGGTGGGAACAACACCCACTGGGGTGTAGGCACATACAGCTGATGAGACCCAAACAAGACGAAACACATGTCCTGGATTCTACTGCTAGCCACCATACGTCATTAACATAAATAACTAAAAAACAAAGACAATATCGAAGCATCCACGCAGGAACCCAAGTGTCACTAAAGACCGGTCAATTCGGTCCAGTCAACGCTATAATATCACATATCAGACGATGGTGTGGTTGAGGGTATCATTTATCAGCAAAATTACACTATGATGCATGTGTCTATGCCTGGAGATAGAAGTTTTAAATCTTTTGACCGGAAAAGCTCATTAAACTGAGCTCTTTCAAACGTTTTAAAATAAGTCGCTCGAAAATGATTCATCAAGAAAACTTAAATTTTCAACGTGTCTTAGGGAAATGGGTTTTCAGGAAACATAAGATTCTTCAGCGAATAAACAGGTGAGTTATTTTCTCATCACACAGGTTCTTTAATAAATACCATGTATCCAGGCATTTAAGGAAACAAAAAACAATGGACATTTATGCAATACAATCATTCAGTACAGTATCACTTCATCAAAAATTCATTACAAGTGTACAACCATTGAAATTAAGTGAATATATTTGAAAAATGTGTTTCGTCTTATTTCGAGACTCATCAGTATGTAGCATGTATATACAAATGTTCACCAGTTTGAAATCAAGCAAAAAAACTTGGAATTTATCTTTAACTCCTTGCACATGCAAATGTCAGCCATCTTTTCTTCATGAAACCACTGATAACTTCTTTATTTTAAAATAATTCCTTTATTCAGTGCATTGAACAATTGCATTACGGTGACATTTTGAATTCTGCTCAATCAGATGTCTCTTCTGTAGCAATGCCTCAGTCAATACGGTAAGTGTATGCTTCGAAAAAAAACATCATTATCATTCTGAAACAGAATCATCAGTTATTATTATCATTATTATGATTATTTGTCCCTTGGGTTCCTAATGGAACATACGGCTTCAGTAGCACCTCTCCATTACACTCCCTTCTCGACAATCTTTCGAACCCAGCACCACGACCGCTCACAAGCTCTCATTTCCTCCCCACACAATCTCCTCCATGTCACCCTCGCCTTCAAAGCCCAACTCGTCGCTTCCAATCTGGGTTCCACTCGAGCAACTGACTTGATGCATGATGTCACCAGTCGCCTTCTCAGTGCATGCCCAATACAGTCCATCTCCACTTCCTTCCAGTAAATATTTGTTCAGTGATAGGTTCTTACTTAGTTGGTTTGTTGCCAGACAGCCAGACAGCCACAGTTCCTTGTTGCTGAATCTTACTATTTCGCACATCTAATCTTCAGTAGCGAGCCAGTGTAGGCAGATGTTGATGAATGTCTGTAGTTTGTTGGAAATCCCTTTCGTAACGTGCCAAGTCTCTCAACCATACAGAAGTACTGACTTGACTGAATTGGTGTTGAAAATCCGGATGTTGTTCACACCTTGTGCCGAGTGCGGTGCAGAAGATCTCCACACTGGTTTCAGGTAATGAAAGCCTGTCTTGCTTTTCCGATTCTGACTGGTTTTGACATCCTCGTCTGTGCCACCGCCTGTAGTTGAAGCAGTGCTGTCTAGGTAGGTGTAGGTGAAAGAGGCTACTTCCTTCAGGTTTCTCCCGTTCATGGTGATTGGAGCTTTCTTCTTGTTGTTGTTGTTGTTGGTTGGGTATCTCCATCACCTCTGTCTTCTTTATATTCACTTAAAGGAAGTTCCGTCTTCACTGACCTGCCCTGCCCTACTCTGCCTCTTCTGTCAACTTGTTAGTTTTCGCCTGTAGATCTTCAAGTTTGTGCGACAAGACATTAGACACAAGTCATCATCGGCGAAATCCAGATATTCTAGGTTCTTTTCGCGCTCCAGCGTATGCCCATCTTCTCACTCCTCACTGTTTGTTGCATGATCCAGTCCAGTCGACCACAATTAGGAATATCATGGGTGATAGTGAGTGGCAACCTTGTTTCACTCCTGTCTTCACTTCACTTCAAAAGCATCACTGAGCTTCCCATTGTGAATTACTTAGCATGTGGCGTCTTCATATAGTTGTTGAATGAGGCTGATAAAGGTTTATGGTATTCCGTAGTATTGAGGCAACTGCCAAATTACCTGTCGGTCGACGCTGTCAAAGGCCTTCTCAAAGTGGATGAAGTTGAGGTAGAGAGTTGAGTTGACTGCCATTCTATTCTCTGTTCTATGATGATGATGAGTAGCGTAACGTTGCAATTTGGTCTGCACATGATTTGTACTTCCTGAATCCAGCCAGCCTGTTTCTGTCGTAATTTTGAATCAAGTACATTCTTTAGTCTCTTCAGTATGATGCGGCCTAATATTTTGCTTCAGGTGGACAGCAGCGTTATTCTGAATCATCAGTTACTTTCTTGTTTTTATGTACCGTAGTAAGTGAATTTATCTCATTTTAAGTGATGCATTATATGATGGCTAGTAGTGGAAGTTAGGATTAAAGTTTCGTCCTGATAAATCGAAATCAGCATTCTAAGTCGTTAGCCACTATGGTAGAACCTTCAGATTTCGACCTTGTTTCATGTCACTGCATGGGTGGGGAAAATCGTATTGGACAAGTTTGTCCTTTAGCTGACCAATGAAAATGAGCATCCAATTTTTGACATAGCGGCTTTATTTTCTAAGAAAAAAAGTATATAAATGATGTGTTCATATTTTAGCTAGTAAAGTTGTCTTTTTTAAAGTCACAGGCGATCTTTGTGTTCTGATTTGTGTGGATAAGCGAAGTATCTGGGTCTGAGGGAGAACAGTCACCACTGGTATCCATTCCAAATATCTCATTGCGTTAGAAGCGTTCTCAAACCTCATATTATTCTGTCAGTCACTTCTACTGAGTCATTTCACATACGATTCATCACTCATCAGTTGCATTCGTTCAGTAGTACTCCCGCTGAAAATCGAACTAAGCATCTCGCAATTGAAACATCGGTTCATTAGTCATCAAGCTATGGTATCTTTATATATTTTCCTGCTACACAATGGACATTCTGGTCACACGTTCTCTTGTCAAGATGTTTCTCTAACGAATGAATATCGTTAACATAATTTGTGAGGACTTAACTTCCTTTCACGTCAATTTTAATCGCCATTTAAAGCTACAGAATACGAAGTTGGACTCGATAGTCTAAAGTGTCCGATTCTCAGTCTACTATACATTATCACGGATTGTAGCTGGCACCATACGCTTTTCATCCAGTTTGAAACTCGTAGGCCGGATATAACTGTCCCACAGTGAGTCAGGATTTTCCATTACTATTCATCACCATGAACGGGAGAAATCTAAACAAAGGAGTAGATTTCACCTACACAGCTACCTATCTAGGAGGCAGCATCGTTTCAACTACAAGTGGCTCACATGAGGATGTCAAACAGAGGATGGAAAGACAACAAGACAGACCTTCATTAACCTGAAACCAGTGTGGAGATCTACTGCACTACACCACACTACACTACACTACACTACACTACACTACACTACACTACACTGCACTTCACTTCACTCAGCATAAAGCGTGAACAACATCTGGATTCCCAACACTAAGTCAGTCAAGTAAGTCAGTACTTCTACTATGTGATGGTTGAGAGACTTGCCACATTACGAAAAGCATTTCCAACACACTGCCCACACTCATCAACAGTTGCCGCCTACACTCACTCGATACTGAAGATGGAGATGAAATGTGTGCCGAGAATAATAAGAATAAGCAAGGAGGAAGTGTGGCCTGACGACGAACTAACGAGCCAAGAACCTATCGCCCAACAAATATGTAGGAGAAGAGAGTGTAGATGGATTGGATTGGAATGGACATACAGTGAGAAGGCCAACTGGGTACATCACGTACCAGACGAGGCCAGACCAAACCAGGCCGTCTAGTGGAACGCGAGTGGGAAATGACGAGTTTGGTGTCCGAGGTGAGGGTGGCATGGATGAGATGGTGTGAGGAAGAAATGGAAGCTTGTAGGGAGTTGTGGAGCCAGGTGGAGCCAGACTGGATAGAAGATAGTGGAATGGTGACTTGCTAGTGAAGCCTTATGTTCCACTAGGAATGGGTAAATAACAATAGTAATAATTCATTACTTCTCTCAAATTGAAATAATCAGTACTATCGAGGTGTGTGCACTCATCGGCGAGGTACGACAAGCGATAAAATCCCCTTCTGCTTGTCATCTCAATCTCATGCTAGTAAAAAATAACTGTTCAGTGGTAACAATTTTTGAAAAATGCTTTGAAATGTATATAAGCATGGTGAGTAGTAATTTCAGGATAGATGGTTTTCTGAAAACTAATCCTTCGAATAACTAGAGATTTATTGAGGAAGAATGACATGTTTCCACAGCAACACTACTTAAAGACATCCATTAAACGGAGGTCTGTGACAAGGAAATACTGCTTTATTTCATGTTTTCTTGGTTAGTTCAGTTCCTCAATTTCAGTTTGATATTATCCTTGCTTCTTTTTTATACTTTAAATGTTGTACTATTGACTATTATTCAGTAGTATAATCATTATATCGAAGAAAATTTGTGCATTCTGTAGAGAACCAATTCATCATATGTTTGTGATGAATGTTGACGCAACGGAGTTATTTAGATTTGGTGTTATTTTGAGCGGATTTACTTTTTGTGATCACACCGAATGTTGTAACCACTCACATGAACTTGTAGATACAAGTTAACCTTCAACAGTGCACCAATTTTAGGAGCTGAGCTTCTTTGGATAAATGGCTAATGAGCTTAGTGAATAATTCAACAATAGACAAGAAACTCAAATTTGAGGTTTGTGAACATTTGTTTATTGATTTCAGGTTGGCGTTCATCATGGACTGACATCATTTAGAGGACCATTGGAAGCCCAAGGGGGCTGAACAACTGTTTCATCCCGACATCGGGCTCCTCAGCAGCGCTAACGCATCATCCCGCCGCAACAGGACTCGAACCCAAGACCACAGGGTTCCACGGCTAGCACATTGCCATTGAGTCACTGGGTGACTAACTCCGAATGGCGGTTCCCGAAGTTCCATCAGGAAGTCTTGACCAATGAGGCCAGACAAGTTGCACATCAAGACGGTTACTCAACAATGGCAATGGATGAAGGTCGCGCTATATCATGAACTGACAGAAGTGGGAAATATGAACCACTGGATTCCGACCTCGTGGCTTAATCTTAGAGCGCCGACCACGGAACCTGAAGGTGATGTGTGAGGCACACTGCTGAGTAGTCTCGTACTATGAAGAAGAACAGCTATCCAGTGCTCCCAAGTTTCCAATGTTCCCCAACTCATGTCAGTTCATAATGAGTGCCAACCTGAAGATGGAAAATTCTCTAATGAGAGCAAATTGCTACAGAACTTTCACAAGGATTACATATACATTTAGCTAGGATTGAACTTGAAATATGTGTCATAGCTGTTAGTATATATTTGCAGTCCTAAGTATCTTATTACGTAACTATTCATAATCCTTGAAAGGTGACATTTTCAACCTTACTTTTTATTGTAGATCTGATCCAAAACTGTTTAAAGATGATGTTGATATTAAATTCAGTCATACATTGAATTCATGCAAAGTACCTCAGGTAAGAATGAGTCAACCTAATTGTGGTATAAACTGATTAATTTATTGAATTACTATTACCTATGATCTATAATTAAAAAAAGATTTGAGATTTGTGGCTACCAGAAGAATCCAGGACATGTGTTTCGCTCTTTTTGAGACTCATCAGCTGGGTGAACCTAATCGTATCTTGTAATCTTCTGCTCTAGCTACGACCAGGTAAATTACTGTAATAAATTCTTATAATTCGTCCCTTGGGTTCCTAATGGAACATACGGCTTCAGTAGCACCTCTCCATTACACTCCCTTCTCGACAATCTTTCGAACCCAGCACCACGACCGCTCACAAGCTCTCATTTCCTCCCCACACAATCTCCTCCATGTCACCCTCGCCTTCAAAGCCCAACTCGTCGCTTCCAATCTGGGTTCCACTCGAGCAACTGACCTGATGCATGATGTCACCAGTTCGCCTTCTCAGTGCATGCCCAATACAGTCCATCTCCACTTCCTTCCAGTAAATATTTGTTCAGTGATAGGTTCTTACTTAGTTGGTTTGTTGCCAGACAGCCAGACAGCAGCCAGAGTTCCTTGTTGCTGAATCTTACTATTTCGCACATCTAATCTTCAGTAGCGAGCCAGTGTAGGCAGATGTTGATGAATGTCTGTAGTTTGTTGGAAATCCCTTTCGTAACGTGCCAAGTCTCTCAACCATACAGAAGTACTGACTTGACTGAATTGGTGTTGAAAATCCGGATGTTGTTCACACCTTGTGCCGAGTGCGGTGCAGAAGATCTCCACACTGGTTTCAGGTAATGAAAGCCTATCTTGCTTTTCCGATTCTGACTGGTTTTGACATCCTCGTCTGTGCCACCGCCTGTAGTTGCAGCAGTGCTGTCTAGGTAGGTGTAGGTGAAAGAGGCTACTTCCTCAGGTTTCTCCCGTTCATGGTGATTGGAGCTTTGTTGTTGTTGTTGTTGTTGTTGGTTGGGTATCTCCATCACCTCTATCTTCTTTATATTCACTTAAAGGAAGTTCCGTCTTCACTGACCTGCCCTGCCCTACTCTGCCTCTTCTGTCAACTTGTTAGTTTTCGCCTGTAGATCTTCAAGTTTGTGCGACAAGACATTAGACACAAGCATCACCGGCGAAATCCAGATATTCTAGGTTCTTTTCCCCGCTCCAGCGTATGCCCATCTTCTCACTCCTCACTGTTTGTTGCATGATCCAGTCCAGTCGACCACAATCAGAAATATCATGGGTGATAGTGGGCGGCAACCTTGTTTCACTCCTGTCTTCACTTCACTTCAAAAGCATCACTGAGCTTCCCATTGTGAATTACTTGGCACGAAGCATCCTCATAGGAGCCCCATATGCTGACAGAAGTCAAACAATTCGATCTAGTAATAGTGATGGAGAATTACAAGTAAATTAACAAAGTTTAAAGAGAATAGAATATTTGGAAAGATGAAATTTACAGAAAAGTAAGAAACACCACACATACGCACAGAGTTTTAATGAACATGAAATCACATTTTAACAAGATATACAACATGAGGTAAATATAATGAACAAAGATGAAGATGAAATTACAAATACTTTGGTCATTTTTTGCTCTGTGAATCGTATCATTTCAAGCATGCGATCGATATGTCCAGTCTCTAATTAGTTGGTTTTGGTAAAACCAATCTTAGAGGGAAGTACCGAGTTATAAGTGGATAGTTGAAATATTTGGCCTAGTTGTTAACTTCCATCAACTGCAGTCGTTGTAACTAGTGTCAGATATGCTTAACCATAGTTTAACTACTGAGATAACCAATCAGGCTTTGGTATTTCACCGAGAAAAGTACTTTTCCATAAAATTAAGCACTGTAATTGGCTGTCTGATCAGTTGCTAGGGTGGCCTTTAAATTCACCTTTAAAGTCACTCTTTAGTTCAATGTGAAATTAGGGTGACTTAAAAGGCCACCCTAGCCACTGATCATACAGCCAATTACATTGCTTTTTCATATGGAAAAGTAATTTTCCAGGTGAAATACCAAAGATCCTCGTGAGAGGAGCAACTTTAAAGACCACCCTAGTAACAACTGAAATAATCAATTAGACTTCTCTAGTTTATGAAAATTTACCTTTCCAGATGAAATGGAGAAGCTTGATTGGTCATTTCGACTGTTGACAGGGCGGCCTTTAAAGTAGCCTAGTAACAGTAGGATTATGTTGGCTTTGTGATGATTAATCAGATTATCAGGTGGAATCAGTTCATCAAATCCCCTGTCTATTGATCTAAGTGATAAAGCTAAGCATAAGCTGTTTGAGCAGGACTCGCCTGAGATGTTGAAAATCAATCACTCAAAATGACATAGTTTAGATATTATGACATGTAATTTCCCAACGTTGATTGGACCAAAATGATCGGGTATTATTGGCATGTGAACTCCTGTACGTATGTCTCAGGAGTGACTTTAAACATAGTCCTAGCAACAACTGAAATAACCAATCAAACTTCTGTATTTTATGAAAATCTACCTTTCCAGCCAAAATGGAGAGGCTTAACTGGTCATTTCTACTGTATCTGCGGTGGCTAAAGTCCCCCATGTCTCAGTACTCCCGGTTTTCTTAGTTTGATCCTAAGGCTAGGTGATGGTTAGCAAAAGAATAGTAGGGGACAAAAGTTTTGTACTGCCCTGGATTCGTCAGCTGGATGTACCTGCCTCACAGTGAGTAGTGTTGTCTCAGTCATAGTAAGAACAACAAGGCAGGTATATCCAACTGATGAGTCTGCAATAGGACGAAACGCATGTCATGGATTCCATTGCTAGCCACTATCTATCATAAATATCCAGGTGACATACTCTGAAATCGAGTGCAGTGGTTCAACTGTATTTGAACATCTATGGTAACCCTCACTAAATTACTTTCTCTTCCTTTTTCTCGTTTCATAAACCCTTTTTTTGAGTAGCAGTTGTTTTCCATCCTATACCTACAAGTATGCTGTAACGAAATATGAAAGGTCCAACCGACGCATTTCCATGCCAGATCTTACGCTGGTCAGACTGCTTATTTTTGCGTGACTGTGGTTAGATGAACATTGGAAACCTCGAGAACTGGACAGCCGTTTCGTCTTAGTACGCGATTCCTCAGCAGTGTGCACCCATGATCCCGCCCAGCTAGGGACCAACCCCAGGACCTTCACTTTCGGCGGCCATCATGTCACTATTCAGACGCTGGGTTGGAATCCAATGATCCATATTCTAGACTTTTGATGAAGATCCCTATATCAGGACGAAATAGCTGTCCAGTGATCTCAAATTTCCAATGTTACTCCAAATGATGTCAGTCCACGTAGAATTCTAACCTGAAAATCAGTCGATAAATCCCACAAACCTCAAATTGGATTCACCTAGTGCTCATTGGTGACTGGGCTACCTTGTCAAACTCCCAAACAAGGAAGACTTAAGTCTTTGCAAGAACTGGCACGGAATCATGCTCCTCTCCACACCAAGCAAAATATTAGGCCGCATCAAACTAGAGAGACTAAACAATGCTCTGCATTAAAAATACGACCGTAACAGGCTAGCTGGCTGGCTTCAGAAAAAAACAAATCATGTGTGGACCAAATTGCAAAGCTACATTACACGTCATTATAGAACAGAGCATAGAATGCCAGTCCACTATACCTATACCTCAACTTCATCGACTTTGAAAAGACCTTCGATCGAGGCGTCGACCGAGAAGTAATTTGGCAGGCAGCTGCTTCAACACTACGGTTTAAGTGACACAAACATTTATCAACCCCATTCAACAACCATATGCTATGTGATGATGCTACATGTCAAGTTATTCACAATGGAAAGTTCAGTGAAGACAGGAGTAAGACAAGACAAGGTTGCCTACTATCACCAGTGATGATTTTGATTGTGGTCGACTGGACTGTACTGGATCACGCAACTTACAACTGTGAGGTTCGAGAAGATGGGCATACACTCACCGTTTGACCGGTGAAAAGACTCTAGAAGGTTTGGATTTCGCCCATCTTGATTTTTGTCTAATGTCTAATGTCGCACAAACTCCATCATCTACAGGTAGAAACCAATAAGTTGGCAGAAAAAGTAGGGCAGCCAAGATGGTACTTCCTTCAGGTGAAGGTATAGAAGACACAGGTGATAAAGATACACAACCACCACTACCACCACCAACAACAACAAGCAGCAATCACCATGAGCTGGAGAAATTGAAAGGAAGTTGTCTCTTCCACCCACCCACCCACCTACCTACCTACCACCCACACCTACCTACCTACACCAACACTACTACCTACCTACTACCTACCCACCCCACCTACCTACCTACCACCACACACCTACCTACCTACCTACCTACCTACCTACCACCCCACACCTACCTACCTACCACCACACACTACCTACCTACCACCCACACCTACCTACCTACCTACCTACCTACACTCCACACCTACCTACCTACCACCACACACCTACCTACCTACCACCACACACCTACCTACCTACCTACCTACCTAGGGAGCAGCATCGTTTCAGCTACAAGTGACACAGATGAGCATGTCAAAGCGAGGATTGGAAAGACATCAAGACAGGCCTTCCTGATTAATCTGAAATCAGTGTGGCGATCAACTGCACTGCACTACATTGCACTAAGCATGAAGCGGAACATGATCCGGATTTTCAACATTAATTCAGTCAAGTAAGTCAGTGCTTCTATGTGATTTAGCGTGTTACGAAAAGCATTTCCAACAAACTAGAGACGTATGTGAACAGCTGCCGCCTACGCTCACTCGATACTGAAGATGGAGATGAGATGGTCAGAATAATGAGAATAAGCAAGAGGAAGTGTGGCCTGACAACGAACCAACGAGTCAAGAAACTATCGCCCAAAAAAATATGTAGAAGGAGAGGGTAGATACGGATTGGATTCGACATAGACTGAGAAGACCATTTGGGGACATCACGCACCAGACCAGGCGGGGCCGTCAAGTGGAACCCAAGCAGGAAATTACGAGTTGGGTGTTCGAGGTGAGGGAGACATGGATGAGATGGTGTGAGGAAGAAATGAAAGCTTGTGGGTGGTCGCGGAGCCAGGTGGAGCCAGACTGGACAGAAGAGAGTGGAATGGTGACTTGTTAGTGAAGCCTTATGTTCCACTAGGAACCCAAGGGACAAATAATAATAACAATAGTCATTGGTGACTAGCTCTGAGAGTTGATTCCTGAAGTTCAAATGAGAAGTCTTGACCAGTGGAGCCAACCGAGTTGAACATTGGGACAGTTACTCAACAACGATATCGAATGAAGATCGCGATATATTGTGAAGTGACAGAATTAGTAAATACGGATCATAGAATTCTGACCTAGTGGCTTTGATGTAGCATGCTGGTCGCAGAACCTGAAGATCGTATGTTCGACCCTGGCAGGGGCAGGTTCATGTGTACACACTGCTGAGAAGTCCCATAATATAACGAAGCATGCGTTATCAGTGCTCTCAGGTTCCCATTGTTCCTCCAGGTGACGTTAGTCTATAATGTATACCAACCTGAAGTGAATATTAATCCCCACAAACCTCCATATTGATTTAACTGAGATATATTATTTCTTAATAACAGTTTACTAAAGATTTAAGGACACTGGTGCATAAAAGTTTATATACAGAGTGGAGAGGAATCAAAACTATGCATTTCGTCCCAACTGGGGCTTATCAGATGGACATAGCTTTACTCAGGTCAGTTTCAACATTCTCGTTGACATTAGAACATGAAATGTATCTGTCCAAACAAAACTGTCCTATGTAAATCAGGTTAAAGATGATCAACTGCTGTTTACTGGGTAGTGTGTTTTCCTTACTTTGTATAAGGATCAATTATCATTTCGATAAGTAAATAAAGGTATAGTGATTATTCACTCCAGGATCAGGAAAATAGTATCTTTCATCAACATCTTCCTTATTAAGGAGTAAACTAGGTGTATGAAGATGATTTTGACTGCTGACGAATTCACTGAATTTGTCAATTTATCCTTCTGCCTTCTTACCAGTACCAGCTATCTTTTAAGAAAACTAGGAGTAACAGATGAAGGGTATCCGACGTTTTGTCCATATAAGACTTGGGTTGTATTTGTTAGTTGGTTGGAGGCAGTCAGTAGGAAGCCCTAGACCTAGGTTTTGTGCTTTTCGGCAGTCGTGAGCAAGGCGTATCTGCAACCTCGGCGAAACTGACGTCCGCCTGAGATTTGAACCCGCGTCACCCAGTGTTGTAGTCAGCGACTTTACCACTGAGCTTTTCGAGCAGCTATTGACCTCCTGTATTTAATCCACTTATCTTCGCTGCCTAATCTATAGTTTACAAAGTATTGTTCCAATATTTCAGTTTTCCAACGCATTTCTATGCGACAGGATTTCACAAAGACTCCATTAATTGTAGACAGACTTCTTCATTATCGTCAATCATTTCTTTCTGATCTAGATGAGAGTAGCATTTAAGTAAAGATTGCTCTTGTCCTGTTAATAAATATACATTCTGCCGCCTGCTTTCTCTTTGGTGTAATTAGACCCCCTTGCCTATGTAAGTTTGATCAAAGTTATTCATGAAAGCATGCATCAAGCCTTTTTTCTGTACTTTACATAAATTTACTGATATCATAATTCGTGTTCACGATGTGTTCAATTATAGCACTCTATATCGCTCCATTGTTATCTGTTAGTAACCATGTGGGATAGTGTTCTTGAACACTTGGATAACAGTTGCATCAAAGGACCTATATACCTGGCTCCACAAGAGCAGGTGAATCGATCACTCCATATAGAAGTGGTCAGATGTGAAAGTTTCTCCTTCGAGTTGTTAGAAATCGTTGGGTGACAAGAGAATACTAGTCTCAGCGTTGATGCAGAGAATGTTCTCATTCAAGTGTTTGATATCCTCCTCTTTAGAGTGTCAGTGGTAGAATCACCTTTAAAGTTGAGATTCATTTAATGTCTTTTTTGACACGGGGTAAGGTTCTCTTAGCGAGTTTTATACTTGATATGTTTGTCTTGAAGCATGGTGGAAATCCCCTTTTCAATCACGATGTTCTTTAAAACAGAATTTCCTCTTCTAACACATCGGGACTACAGATTCGTCAGATGTGAATGGCAAGAGATATGTTCAGGTTTCACTTACGACCCATAAGGATCCAGGTATTAAAGTTTATCAGTGAGTATTCCACATTGGTTTTCTATGAATTGATCCACCAGCTGTTCTTGTGAGTTGTACATCAAGAAAGTGAATTTTCGATCAATTTTCTACCTTAAATGTGAATATAATTGATGAGTGACAGTTATTGAATATTTTTAGAACATGATTCAAATCATATTGATAATCACAGATAATAAAAGTATCGTCCATTTACCTTTTGTACATTTGAAAACCTTCAATAGTTGATTTCAAGGGTCCGTTCTCCAAACTGGCCATAAAGCAGTTTACTAGTACTGAACCTAGTGGTGATTCCATGGTCATTCTATCTTTATCTTTGTAAATCACGTCATCAAGTGTGAATTGAACGTTGAATGTACATTTAAGTAGCAATTCCTTAAGGCGGGGGGTTTGGTATCCCAACAATTATGTTGTTATCATCTATGAATACCTGGATAAGAATGAGGTAGTTTCAGTAAGTGACTAAACATCAAGTGATATGATACAATTATTAGATACGTCTTCGTCTCTTATGCAATCAAGAAATTCAAAAGCGTGGTGTAGAGAGTGAATGGTGATTCGTCTTCTAACAGGTTCTAAGATTTCGGTTAACCATTTCGCGATGGGTAGTAAGAAGATTCTGACATGTCTAGAATCGGAAGAAGGGGTAGACTGACATTGTGAATTTCGGTAATCCATAAAGTGATGGAATTGTAGACCCGGTTGGTTTGATGTATTTGTAGGGATCAATAGTTGTTAGCTGATCATTTGTTAGCCTTTTCAAAACATCATAAGTTACTGTCATTTACTCTAGAATATGTCCATCGTTCTTTTGAGTTCTTAACGATTCGACTGTTAATAAAAAAAAACGGTTAACATCAACAGCATATGGGGTTGATTTTGAGGGATTCTTTGAGTGGATTTCAAAGAAACCGCTTACTAACATCTGGTGATATGGCTTCCTGAATATAGAAACGACTAAACGAGTTTATACCTCGAACTCTGTAGTAAGTAGACTTCTGGTCATTGACTATGTGTTAGACAACAATTTGGTCAATCTTTCCAACTTCAGCTGTTACAAGACGGACCTTGATTTTCACTAAGACATGGAAGTCAATTGTTACAGGGCATAGATTACTCCTTGTTATATTGCACTTTATTTAGAGATATTTAGGCGGGTCTTAGACTTTCACAAATTGAGTTGACGATTGGTGACACTATTTTAGATAAATGCAACTTGTAAGACTGGTATTCATTATATCGGGTCTAGTTACAGACAAGGTTCTAACGGTACTTTAATGATACTAGTAATCTCCCGGGGCTATATTGGGTCGAATAGCCTGACTCCTGTTAGCAGATGGACTTTTACGCGGATGCCCTGACACTGCCCGAATATTCATCGTATTGTAGTCTACTTCATGGCTAGCAGTAGAATGCAAGACACGTGTTTCGTTCTGTTCGGGCCTCTTCAGCTGGATATACTTGCATCCCAGTGGGTGATATTGTTCTCGTAGAGACTCGAACCCAGTAACCTCCTAGTAGACTACATTTTGGGGTCTGAAGAGGTAGATACAGGGCTCCACTTTTGGTGGAAGCAATAACACTCACTAGGAAGCAGGCGCATTCAGCTGACGAGTCTCAAGTAAGACGAAATATATGTGTTGGACTATACTATTAACCACCAAGAAGACTACCAGACTTAATGATTGCGTCTAACCGCTTAAGTCTTTGACTCACTTCAGTCTTCGAAGACTCAGTGAGGAGGTGGTTTACGAAGAGAATCTGCATAATAGGTGAATTCCCATTCTTGAGATTACAACGTACTTGACTAGTGATAAACAGATGACAATCACAGGCACTTAGGATAACCAGTCAAGTTGATTGTTTTTGTGTCAGTCAATGAAATGGCATGATTAGAGAATATGGAGTCTAGAACGTCACCAGATTGGAGATGAACTTGTCATTCATTGATTTTGGTGAAGAAATATTATCTCAAAGATGTCGATATACTTCCATGGAGAGTTAGTCAAGCACTTATTATTGTAAACAACTTTAGTTTAAACTGTTTGAAGTGTCTTGAAGTTGGTGACAGCAAAGCATAAATTAGGCGTCAATCACGATTCATTTAAACGGAAAATATTTTATACCATCATAAAAGACTCGTTTTTTTCTACTTGTAGATTCGTTATGCAACAGTCAGTCGTTTACTTGATCGTTTAACTGATGCCAGATTCTTGTCAATCGACTTCTTGAACACATTTCTTCTCACCTATCGTGTATTTACTACTGGTCTCTCAGTCATATGGTCACTGAATCAAGTGTTGGCCAATCCAGATGTGGACGCGACGATTAACAATAGTGCTGTACATCCAAGTCAAAATCAGTCCTTTACTTAGTAAGTATTTCGATTCGATCTTTTATTCATTTAGCTTTAAAGTTAAGACTAACAGAAGTTGGAAATATGGACCAATGGATTCTGACCCAGTGGCTAGCTCAATGGTAATGTGCTGGCCACGGAACCTGAAGGTGGCGGAGTCGATCCCTGGCGTGATGGGGTCGTGGGTGTGCACTACTGAGGAGTCTTATTCTAGTCGGACGAAACAGCTGTCCGGTGCTCTCATGTTTCCTTTGTTCCTCCAAATGATGTCAGTCTACGATGAATAACAACTTGAAATAAGACTACTTATTCTGACTACGGAGATGAATGTTTTCTTCTGGAGAGATGGTCTAAGATTAGTACACGAAATCCTGATATGATTTAGGAGGCCTGGAGTCACCATAAAGGACTAGAAGTAACTAAAAAATGTTTGACACTTTTGAGTAGCTTTGTCACCGTAGCAAGAAATTTACCTTTAATGAGACCCAGTTTCCTCACACAACTTTATCCTTGCAAAATCTCATCATTACTCATTACTCACAACGGAGTATATTTTCAGCTGTCGTGTCGATATGCCTTCAGCTGGAAACCACTCAACAGAGATTCCGAGGTATGATCTTCGACACGTAACTGCCATAAACTAGCAAAACATACTACTACTGAACAAAGTGAGTAGTTAGAAACCACTCAGACCAGTCGGTAGTATTTCGCCAACTGAAGATTTTCAGAGGAAACCCTGTTGACAAGACAGTTGGGCAGTTGAAAAACTACTCAGCTGCGAAGAATGTCAATGTGGACCATGTAATTTGTGCATCATTTGCAAACTGATCAACCTATTTCAGGTATAACGGTTTATGCAAATCGGCTAACCAGGTTATGGTAGCCTGACATTGCTCGAACGCACAGCTGATGAGGTCAGCCCCAAACGAGCAAAATGGCTGTCCGGTGTTTAGATCACTCTTACCTGTCTGGTAAAATTTACAGATCAACGTGAGTGGTTACTAACTACTCAAATTGTTCAGTAGTAGTATTGTAGTGGTCGTTGCTAGTAAGAATGGATATAAGTAGTATATTTGAGAGGGCGGAAGAAATCGTAAGGAATTACCGGCAGTGGGTAATGATTCTGCCCAGAAAAACACAAGAGCCAACGCAGGCGTATGTAGAACAAATGGAGGGAGAAGCAGAAGAGGAAATGAAGCACGTTTTGCAAATGACTGTCTTAGTGCAAGGTTTACCATGTTTGATGAGTACCGTACCACCAGATTATTCGACCTCCATCTAAGTTACAAGGCTGTTACACTGACCAGAGTTTGTTTTCACTTTAAGCACCAAGGGTGTGGCGGACTGTCATGTGAGCTCGTGATGCGATGCGTTACTACCACTTGATCGTATTGACACTGGCTGCCTAGTCAAGACTTCTCATCCCAGTCCAAATCCAGCTGAAGCAGAGAGGGGGAGCAACATACTGATTATCATTTGATTATCTGAGATAGCTGTAGTTTGGCAGACTAGTATTTCTACTGGGTGGTGATTGAAGGTGGAATGAAAGTCTGAACCATGACCGGATTGGAACCAGGGACCACCGGGTTGCGGCTGGAGCTCTACCAACTGAGCTACGAGGTCCGACTGCTTACCAGAAGTGTATTCTTCCCTTCGTCTCTGTCTTCTCGTTCCCTTCAGTATTTTTAAGTTGGATAACCTAACAACCGTTATCGTACCCATCACACTAAACGTTATCTGAATTCTGTCGATTTATTTCGTGATAAAGCCTATAAACTAAGTTACTTTGTATCGTGAAACCTATTTACCCTAGAAGAATAAGTCATTTTACGAAAATTCATTACTTACTGCTTGGCCCGTGACGATGTTACACGTAACTGGACTTTTATACTGTACTGAAGAAGCTGTGGCTTACACAGAAACATTTAGAAATATCTTGTTTTGATTTTCTAAGCACATCCTGAGTTTATATTGAAGTATATTCTTACAATGGATTTTCAACACCAGTGCCAAGTCAGTACTGCTATATGGTTCAGAAACTTGGCGCGTCATGAAAAGCACTTCCAGTAAACTAAAAACATTCATCAACACCTGCCTACGCTCACCCGATACTGAAGATCAGATCAGATGGTCAGATAACAAGAATAAGCAACAAGGAACTCACTCTGACCTGGTAACGAACCAACGAAGCAAGAACCCATCACCCAACATATATGCACAAGAGAGTGGAGGTGGATTGGGCATAGACTGAGAAGGCCGACTGGGGACATCACGCGCCAGTCCCTCGAGTGGAATCCAAAGGGGAAATGACGAGTTGGGCGTTCGAGGTGAGGGTGACATGGAGGAGATGATACAAGGAAGAAATGAAAGCTTGTGGGCAGTTGTGGCGCTACGTTCAAAAGACTGAAGAGAAAAGAGTGCAATGGAGGCGTGCTACTGGAGCCCTATGTTCTAGTAGGAACCCAACGGAAAAAAAATAATATTCTTACAATGAAAATATCATTTCTTTGCATTTCGGTCGTATGTACCAAGAACCTGGGATTTGTCATGTCTAACTCGTGTTCCTATGTTTTCATCATAATTAATTGTAATTTAAGTAACCTTGATAGTACCATAAATGGACGTAACAAGTGACCTTGAATAATGCCTTTCCCATCTGATTGGTTATCCTCTAGGTTTCCTGTGCTTAAGGTTTAATTCTACCGGCAGATAGACTGGTGGATGGGCCACATTCATTCAGTAAATATGAGTATACTTATTAAAAATTGATGGAGTTTATGAAGCTAAGATTGTTGAAAATGACCAAATATGAGCCTGCTACTGACTCTCGATATCAGTATTCCTGAATTGTTTTATAATACTTCTTCTTTAAAGTTGATCATGTCTACGACTTGAATTGTCAGCCAATTTAATACCTATGACATGATGGAATAAAAATAGACATTTTTAGTGAAATGACTCAATATCCATTGACGTTAGTTGGATAGAGGTAGTCAGCAAGAAGCCTCAGTCAACCAAGATTTTGTGGTTGTTGGGTGTCATCAGTAAGCTGTATCTACTTTATTGATAGAACTGATGTTCCACAGTAGATTCGAATCACAATCACTTGGTTATCCGGGTCACGGATGACCTCAACTAATATCTTCGTGCAAATAGGTGACAATTTGGTTCTTTATATATCGTCTTTTTTCTTGTTTTAACTGGATTCAATGTACAATATGCACAATTGATACTAGAAAAATGATATATTATTCATTCTTTGTGTTTGTTATTGTCTTTAATCTTTGAAAGCTCACATTTCGAAAACGCTGAATCACGTGATCTATTGTATATGACAAGATCTTCTGAAGTATCATTGACAACTAATCGATTACCAGTTTTAGAAGAAGCAGTACCTAGTACAACTGATGATCTCTCATCTAGTCCAAATTCAAATTCACAAACAGAAGATAAACCAGAGTTTAGTACTAGAATGAATATGAATGTATCAAGTGAATTATCCACATCGTTACCATTAAACAGGCTGGATCAAAGGATGAAACAGTCAGAAGCCTCTAGTCCAACTGCATCTACAGGGAATTGTACACATGGTAATATACTTATAGAATCGCATAAAAACTTACTTCCATCTCCATTATCTACCTCAGAAGCTCACTGTTCATCAGGTGAAGAGTACAATTCCAGTTTAATGAGTCAATCAGAGATAGGTGATAGTCATCATAGTGTATCCACTGATAAACAACTGATTAAACAGGTGATGAATAGAAGTTTCCATTCCTACAATACAAGTACTAATACCACTGGTAATAACAATAACACTTCTATTACAGCTGTATCGTTAAGTTATCATCCTACAACAGTCTTAATTCCTCGTTCACCTGTATATAACACACTAGTGGATTTAAGAGACGATCCACCATTGGAGTTACCAATTCTACCAGATCTGAAAACGGTAAGTTCTTCTTTTAAGTGTATCATAATCTTGACATATGGTCACAGTTATTCAGTGTGGTTAATTCCGCATTAGAGAAATAGTTGTGCTTCTTCTATGAAGACCTCTATCACAAACTTCATATACTTCATTGATCAGTCAGTGTATTATGAAACCTTACAGGAAATTGACTTCACTAGTTATTTTCACTAGATTCTTAGTGTCAACTGTTGCGTTTGTTTTTACACGCGTTTTTGTAAAAACTCCAGTGGCTAAACGACAGGTTTAGGGATAGCTGCTTTATCCTAATATGGTACTCCTCATTAGTACCCATGAATGAACCGGCCACTGGTTGAACTCAGGACTTTTGGGTTTCTCAGAGAGCATATTATACCACCCCTAGTTGTTTAGTGCTCTCACATTTTAAATGGTTTTCTAACTTACGTGAGGTCATTGATGAATATCAACCTGAAATCAATAAATCCCGACAAACCTTCAAAGAGGGTGAGGATTGTTAGTTTCTTCAAAAACAAGTTGGCTTTATTTCTGGAAGACTTCTTGCATGATCAGTTTCGTTTCAATTTCTTTTGAACACTGACATCATATGATTAATGGCCTAGACTAGAATTCACCTTTTCATTGGTGGACTGAGAAACAGTGAGAATAATCCTATTCGTGGTATTAGGATAATTTGGGCCAGTCTGTCTAGTGTAAACGACCAATCACAACCAAGCTAGTCTTGTTGTGTGTCTGGAATGTCAGTCATGTCACATTCTATAGAAGGTATATTGATGACATCATTGTATTATATGACACACATAAGGATGCTGTGGGTTTGTTAAAAAGGCTTAATACCGTACAAGAAGAAAATGGCCATCAACTTATATTTCCTGATATACGCTTGTGTCGGAGGGAAGATGGATCTATCAGACGATCATTCTATAGAAAGCCTACATTGACGGGACAATACTAGAGTTTCCACAGCTTTTTTCCAATGAAATACAAGAGAAGCTTAGTAAGATGTTTATTCAACAAGATCCAACGTATTTTTGCATCTGATACAATAGATGATGTGAGGGAATTTCTAGAAAACGGATATCCAACACAGTTTCTTAGCAGTTGTATCAAATAACTAACCCCAAAACTTATAATTTCCTCGGTACCCAAGAAAGATATATTTCTTATAGTACCATACAGAGGGGAAACGAGTACTATGATATTGAAACAGAGATTAAAATCTGTTATCAGTAAAACATACTATACAGCTCAGCTTATCATTGTTGAAACAACAAATCATCTGCTTCGTCACAAACCTCAACCTCACATAAATGATTTTCACATTCCATTGTGTTTACCAATTTACATGTATATGTGGACACATATACATAGGAAGGAGCAATCGTGCAATGCAGACTAGGATCGGTGAACACATATCTAAATGTTTCAAGTTGTTATTCATCGTAGACTGACATCAGTAGTAGTTGGAGGAACAAAGGAAGCCTGGGAGCACTGGACAGCTGCTTCATCCGACTAGAATGTGACTCCTCAGCAGTGCGCACCCACAACCCCATCACGCCAGGGATCCAACCCGCCACCTTCAGGTTCCGCGGCCAGCACGTTACCAATGAGCTAGCCACTGGGTCAGAATCCAATCGTCCATATTTTCAACTTCTGTTAGCTCACATTTTAAATGGCTTGAAAAACAGTTTAACACACAAACTTTGATCAGTTCAGGGGAAAGACATCCATCTTCATCTATAGCAAAACATATAATCGGAATGAATCATATCATACCGTATCATACCATTCACTCATTTGACCCTCTCACTATATGAACATATAACAATCCTTGAATTACTCAAATTTCTGAACGGTCATAATGGCATCGAAAATCTGGACAGACAGTAAAATCCAGGGATCAACTCACCTATCAACTTTAAAGTGAATATATTCATAATAATGCTATGAAACAGACTTCTATAGTACTTTATCTAACAGTGAATATGCGTCTTGACAATGCTACATACCTTAACGTGAACAGTATGCAAAACTCAGTGCCATTGGTCCTCAGATTTTTCAAATGTTTATTCCTTTGCCCGACAATATCTAATTCTGATGGCGTAAATCTCTATTGCTGTGAATGATAACACTTGAATAGATATTCACTTGGATTATGTGAAAACCTACAGGTTCTCAATATCTTCAGTGTGAGTTCTTCTGGTACCCGAAACTATAAGCAAAAGAATTTATGGTAAAATAGACTTTTATATAGCTTAACGGGGCATTGCGAAGACGAATTAAACAAGTCGACTGCTTGTAACGGAAATTTGAAATTTCGCGCGACCTTGGTGCCACTAATGGTGAAAAAAGAAGTATGACTGAAAACGATCCAAACTTTAACACTCTGAATACTCTGAAAGTTGTATTTTCTTGTTCGTTTCATGACTTGTGTAATCTTCTGATGTTTTTAATCTAATTTTGATGACGTCCATTCCGTACCATTTCGATCCCGTAAAATTTTGTAGATTTTCCAACATATACTAATGTGATGATGCCTGTAAACTGGCTTCTTTCATGGTAAATTACTAATATGAGAATAAATTATTTATTTATTTATATGGATAATGCGAAAATAGCATTCAAAGTATTATACAAGAACAGTCACGAACGTATTCTGAAATCAACTGAAGCGTTAGCCATTTGTAAACTTAAGCCCACGTTGTTGTTCTACTTAATTTACCTTGGTAATCCTTATCTGATTATATTGGCAAGACTAGTATCACAACCTTTTTCATATTCCAAGTTGTTATTCATCGAAGACTGACATCAGTTGGAGGAACAAAGGAAACCTGGGAGCACTGGACAGCTGTTTCGTCCTAGTATGGGACTCCTCAGCAGTGCGCACCCACGACCCCAACAGCAGGGATCGAACCCGCGACCTTCAGGTTCCGCGACCAGCGCGTTACCATTGAGCCCCCCTCAAAATTTAATTGAACTAGTGCTCGTTGGTGACTAGCTTCGAGAAGTATTCCCGAGGTTCCAATGACAAGTCGTGACCGGTGGAGTCAAAGCCTGATGGCCGTGAGGACAAATACTCAACGATGACATTAGGTGGCGGTTTGCGCTATATCGTGAGCTAACAGAAGTTGGAAATATGGAGCATTGGATTCTGACCCAGTGGCTTTTCATATTCATTATATATGATCATTAGTTTTTCCTTTCGCTTCCGTATATAAATTGACTTGACAAATAAATATGCGATCAGATTGTTTGAAACGTATTGAACAAATACATAACTCACTTTTTTCAGATAATCTTCGTCTTCTAATAACTTTGTCGAAATTTATAATCTCATGTCCATTTCCCGGCTGATAGCTCCAACAATTTTAAATCCCTTACTATAAAACGTTAACTATAATTATGATAAATAAAATTTTGGAATTGAAACAGAAACAGAGGTGATGTTCAACTGGTTTAAATGGTTGTTGACGGAATAGAAGAAGTTTTCGCTTAACTGGCTTCCGCGTCTACAATCCATGGATCACTACTCCTTGTGGTTGTTAACCTGTTTTACAAAGAAAGGTGAAAAAGTGGTGATTAAAATGTGAAAATTCACTTTGTTTTGGGCAGATCCCAGACACACATCAAGTAGGTATCCAGTCAGCATTTAAAAGATTCAGACGAAGTAGCCTGGATCACATCTTCAAGAAGAGCGTTCCAAGGTTTAACAACTCTTAGGGAATAGAAGTTGTGCCTGACATCCAGCCTGCTATGTTCCAGGCTTAGTTTCTGTGCATATCCTCTAAGATTAGCGCTGCAGCTAAGATTTAATAAGTGACGGAGTGGGTGGCCAGGCCTGCTGAGAATGTTGTAAGTCATTATCAAGTCACCTCTTATCCTTCTGTATTCCAGAGGATACAGATCCAGAGCAACCAGCCGTTCTTCGTATGTTTTGGACCTAGGTCCTTGAACAGATTTTGTCGAACACCTCTGGATGCGTTTTAAGCTTAGTTTGTCCTTCTGGAGATAAAGGGAGAAGACGGTGATCCTGAACTCCAGGTGAGGCCGTATGAAGTTGTTGAAAATTTGGTGGAAGCATCTACGATCGAATTGTCTTGATGTTCAACTTAGCGGATCGCACTGGTTACTACTTCTCATTAGAGCTTCGGGAATCCCCTCTCGAAGTAAGTCACCATTTTGGAGGTTTGTAAGGATTTTTGTTGATTGATTTCTGGTTGATATTCATCACGGACTGACATCATTGAAAACTTCTCTTCATCTTATTTTAACTGTAATAAATATGGTCTTACCTTACTGTTTATATTTTATTTCTTTTACAACTAGTCGGACAAAAAGCATCAACCACGTGAATCCAGGGAAAAAGTGGAAACTACCTCAGTCATCTCTTTATCCTTGGATGAATGTAACAGCACACAGAAAGGACATATACGTCTGGCTCCATTGGCTTCTTGTGAAGTAATACCAGATGAAGCAGATATATTGAACAGTTCAAAGAAAGGAATTACATCCAATTCACAAACACCAATATCTTCTAATCCTGATATCAATAAGAATGAAAATAACAGTCAGCAGTATGATGGTGATGACTATACTACTAACAGTAGTACTGTACATATTATCACTGGTAATCATTTAGATAGTCAGTTGGATAAATCAACAATCTTATTACCTCAAGAGAAAACAAAGTCAGGAGATGTAGAAGACAATGAAGTAGTGATTGTCATGGTAAGAGGAGGAAGAGAAAGTGGAGTTCAAGAAAAAGATGAAGAAGGAGATCATATGAAACATAGTCGGTCAACAAGCATATCAACATCAGATATTGAAACTTCAGTCCCTTATGAAAATCAGGTGAGTGAAGAAGTTACTTGCAAAATTTAAAACAGGTTGGTATTCATCATGGACTGGAAACCTAGGAGCATTGGATAGCTGTGCTTCGTTCAAGCATGAGACTCTTCAGCAGTGAACACCCATGACCCGACCAGAGATCTAACCGATAACGTTCAGTTTCATGCTCACCAAGTTACCATTGTGCCATTGGGTCGAAATCCAGTGGTTGATAATTTCTATTACTGTCAATTCACGATGTAGCACGATCTCCATTCAATGGCTTTGTTTAGTACCTGTCGTCGTTTTTCAGTGCTCCAAGGTATACAATGTCCCTCCTACTAATGTCAGTTCATGCTGAATTATTATTATTTTTCCTTTGGGTTCCTAGTGGAACATATGGCTTCAATAACAAGTCACTATTCCAATCTCTTCCATCCAGTCTCGCTCCACCTGGTCAACGAATACACAATAACCTTTCATTTCTTCATCACACCATCTCATCCATCTCATCCATGTCACCCTCAAACACCAAACTCGTCGTTTCCTACTCCAGTTCCACTCGATCACCTCACCTGGTCTCACCTGGTCTGGTGCATGATATCCCGAAAACGACTTCTCGGTCTATCTCCTCCATCCAATCCAGTCCATCTCCACTCTCTTCTTCCACATATTTGTTGGACAGCAGGTTCTTGGTTGGTTGGCTTATTGCCAGGCCACACCTCCCCCTTATTCATTCTCCCTAGCCATCTGATATGCAGTATCGAACGAGCGTAGCCAGCAACTCTTGATCAATGTGTGTAGTTTGTTGGGAATGCATTTCGTAAGGCGGAGAGTCTCTCAAGCATCACATAGTAGAAGTACTGACTTACTTGACTGACTTAGTGTTGAGAATCCGGATGTTGTTCACGCATTATGCTGAGTGTAGTGTAGTGCAGTAGATCTCCATACTGATTTCACATCAATGGAATGAGGCCTGTCCTGCTGTCTTTCCAATCCTGGCTGGCTGGCTGGCTGACTGGCTGACTTTCACATGGCATCCTCATCTGTGTGTGTGCGTGTGCGTGTGCCACTTGTAGTTGAAACTATGCTGCCTCCTAGGTAGGTAGGGTGAAAGAAACAACTTGCTTTATATTTCTCCTGCTGATGCTGATTGGTTCTCGTTGTTGCTGTTGTTGGTGGCGGTTGGGTGTCTTCATCACCTCTGTCTTCGCTACATTCTCCAGAGGGAAGTACCATCTTTGCTGCCCTGCTTATTCTGCCAACTTGTTGTTTCTGCCTGTACATCGTCGAGTTTGTGTGACATAAGACATTATGCAGAAATCATCATCGGCGAAATGCATATCTTCGAGGGTTTTCTTCATCGGTCCAACGTATGTCTCATGATAAATACCATCCTAAAATCAATGAATAAATCCCCGCTAACCTCAAAATTGTATAAACAGTTGCATTGGAACCTTAGTTTATGTTGAAATGTCAGAAAAGTTTTTAAGTTAAAAAAAATATTAACCGGTTACAGTCACATAATGTAAATGGAAACTAACTTAAACTGAATGTGTGAACCATTATAGTACCAGTCTAGTAAGTGAATGACTCATTTCTCACTGACAATTATATGGGCTTTCATTTAAGTCTACATAATACTCTACAAAAGAACATGAGAAATACCTAGATGAAGTGCTACTGTTTATTTTAAATATCAACCAGCATACGACAATTTTGCACCCTGAAATGATGAAAAAGATTTGAAGCTGAGGATGAGAATGATGAAGTTTTAGTGTTATCATTTCCGTCATTTCAAAATCTTTTTTAACAAAAAGCACTTCTCTGTTCTAGGGGATGGAAGAACTTTGCTAGTTGAACAGTTTCCAATCGAAAGTGTGTGTGTGTGTGTGTGTGTGTGTGTGTGTGTGTGTGTGTGTAGTTAGCACAGCAGTGACCATGACCTGTAGTGAGTTGAACAAGATTTACATAGCTAGGTTGATATGGTTGCTGAATACTATCTTACTTGGAGAAGTGGTGTTCTTAACGATATTTATAGGGAAGTTGTACTCGTTTTGATCGTATTTTGGTCACAAGGATGATATGAACAGTCGAGAACTGAAGCGACGATAAATCACTACAAACCATCAACTGAATTGCGGATAGATTTTGCGAGGTTCTAATGAGAAGTTATGCCCTGTGAGGTGAATCAGGTAGGGGGTTAAACGGATGCCCACTGGTGAAATTATATGATAGTCATATTGTATAGCGAATTGACAGAAGTTGATTCTAGCCGAGTGGCCTAATGATAATGTGATCACTGCGAGATCTGACAGGTCCTACGCTCGATTCCTCATGAAGCTCCTAATGTGTACCACTGATGAGTGTGGAATTGGAGTGAAACAGGTGTATTACGCTGCCAATGTTTAAGTAATTCTCCAGCTGCTTTCAATCCGTATTGAAAACTACTTCTTATAACTTAACACCATAAAACATTGATATGTGTTTTGTGCAACATAATAATGTTTCCTTGTTTAATTATATCTGAAAATGGGCACTTGAACACTAATCTTCAATTTACACCTTTAATGACTTCTCAGTCTCATGGTAAGATAATAAAAGATGTACTGTAGACCTAAAATATGTGCAAAAGACAACAATTAACACACATTTATAATGACCTTGACTATTTTTAGGCCCTCTAGAAGGGCATATCCTATTGATTTTTATTTCTTCAACTAATCCATAATTTACACATAGGTTCACATGCTTTCTCTCAAAAATCTAAAGCAACACGATTGGTTGTAAAAGGCTTCAAGGATTTAGGACTTCCTACTAGGATCTAGACAATCTTATCACATACAATAACATATTAGTTGCACGTAATATGCTAATGAATAAATCTCATTTGATTCAAGTCTGTATACCTTAATATTTGTGACTTTTTGTCAGAAGTTAGGCGTTTGTATTACGCAGATTCCTACATGACAATTTTGTATAGCTTTACCTGGTGTTTTGTCCATGACCTTAAAATAACCTACATGACTGTTCTCATACCGTCACTAGTTTTTATTCCCTCTGCTCTCAAGGCTGAACTCTCATTGGTCGTTAACTCTTTTAACCTAAATGTGGATTTAGTGTTGTCAAGGTCGTATATATTCAGTATCGCTGTCAGCTGTATTAACTGCTGCTGTGACATTAAAAGGTTCACTGTCAACAGTGTGTCTCCTGTCCTTGTCTTTGCGCGTCGGGAGTATTGTTGTTGTGGTGGTTGACGTTATGACTTACGTTACAGTCGGTTTGTTTACACGTTAGGTTTGTATTGTTCGTAGTCTGCTAGACTGGTATTGCTAGTAGGCTGTTAGGTCATACTGCTTACTGATCACAGCAATTTATTTATTACTGTTATTATTATTACTAGCATCATTATTATTTGTCCCTTGGGTTTCTAGTGGAACATAGAGCTTCAGTAGCACGTTTCCAGTGCACTCTGTTCTCTGAAATCTCTTGAACATGGCTCCACGACTACCCACAAGCTCTCATTTCTTCCTCACACCATCTCCTCCATGTCACCCTCACGTTGAACGCCCAACTCGTCATTTCCCCTTTGGATTTCACTCGACGGTCTGACCTGGAGCGTTATGTCCCCGAATCGTCTTCTCAATGCATTCCCAATCCATCTCCACTTTCTTCTGCATATTTGTTGGGTGATAGGTTCTTGTTTAGTTGGTTCGTTGCCAGCCATCCAGCCAGCCAGCCAGCCAGCCAGCCAGCCAGCCAGCCAGCCAGCCAGCCAGCCAGCCAGCCAGCCAGCCAGCCAGCCAGCCAGCCAGCCAGCCAGCCAGCCAGCCAGCCAGCCAGCCAGCCAGCCAGCCAGCCAGCCAGCCAGTCAGCCAGCCAGAGTTCCTTGTTGCTCATTCTTTCTGGCCATCTGACCTTTAGTAATGAGCATAGGCAGTTGTTGGTGAATGTCTGTAGTTTGTTGGAAATGCCTTTCGTAACGCGCCAAGTCTCTGAACCATACAGAAGCACTGACTTGACTGAATCGATGTTGAAAATCCGGATCTTGTTCCACATGATGATTGCAATGCAGAAGATCTCTACACTGGTTTCAGGTTAATCAACGCTAGTCTTGCTGTCTTTCCGATCCTTGCTGTCTTTGACATCCTTGTCTGTGTCACTTATAGTTGAAACGATGTTGCCTAGGTGGGTGAGTAGAAAAGGCTACTTTCTTTAAGTTTCTCCCTTATAAAATTAAGATTCCTAATATCCCGTTTCTTTTTTATGCTTTTATTTTATTAGCCAAATGAATGTTTAGAATATGTGCCAAATTCAAAAATCCCTGGTGAGAATATTGAAATAAAACATTTCAAAAAGATGGATCAATTATCAATTTTAAATAGTCAACAATTTAGTCGTAGTTGGACAAGTATAAATTGTATCCCTAGCCAAGATGGTGATATTGATGACGATGATGATGACAATGATAATGTTAAAAATATCAGAAATTATTTAAAATTAAAAAATCCCCCATATCAGCTATTAACTTAGAGGATAATGATCGATTATTGAAAAATTACTTAAATCAAACAATTGGTTCATCATTGTTAGCAACGGAGAATAATTATGATAGGCAACAATCATCAGGAAATTTTGCAAAGATAACTATTGAAAGTAGGTGGATTTCTCTGTTGTTGTTTCTTTTTCTCGCTTTGCGTTATTCATTTGGTCTTACTAATTTTATCACGTAGCTTAAAAGTAAAATTTTATAAGCATGAAGACTGTGCAAAGATAGAAAGACAAAGTGGAGGTATAGGTGCTTCTTTTAAACTAGCCAGTAGTATGCAAAGAACAATTGGATAGAAAAAGACTGATATCAAAGTAGATAAAGGTGTAAGGGAGGAGAAAAAATTTGAGAATGAAGGTCAGTGATTATATTTAAGCTTTTGAAGACTTGAAGGAGTAAATATATCTGCGCCATTATAACTAATTTACAGGCATGTCAACCAGTGACTCTATGGAATCCCAGCCAGATAGTCTACACCTCCCTACACAACTGAAACCAACCTTAAGAAACTAAATGCTCTGGTGCTATGCCTTGGTCCATTAGCTCTGAGCCTGTTTCCAAGCCAATCCTACCTCAGCTAAGACTGTACATCGTCATGCACAACATTTGTCCAGCTAACCTAAGTTGCTGGGGTTTCAAAACCTCAATGACATATCTTTCTTCCATGACTGATACCTTTCACTCAAGCTTGAAATTACCAACACACAGAATCCTTCACATCTGAATGGTGCTACGAAGACGTATGTGGTCAACACACTATGATCTCTTCACATTTTCCACATTTAGCGGCCACATTTCACAATCGTTTAACAGGACAGAGTGGACCTCGGCCTAACACACTCGTCCTTTACATTTGAAAGATGCGAAACGAACACCAAAAATAAAGAGATGTGTTTTTAAGTCATTCAAAAGACTTGAATCTTGTCGTGTCTTCACTTAGCAGGACAATTTTGTTTGTAAACTTCAAGTCAACTAGATACCTTCAAAGGAGTAGATCAATCCATGTGAAGTCAGCGTTACTGAAGACCATGAGCTCATGACACTCATTAGATGAGGTAATGAAAGTCAGTGGTATGCGATTGCGGTCCTGGCTGACATTTTAAAGCCAACATTTCCTCTAACTGTGCTATTTGTCAAGAAAACAGGTGACTCTTAGTCACGTCAGTTACGACCAACTAGATGATAGCTTCCGCTCAGTTCAGCAGTGTTCATTCTCAACCTCCCCTCGCCTTACAATACTGAGTTGTAGATATATTGACATTCATCCACTGGGTTAGTAATCTATTGATATACCACCGGCATCACATCATGGGTGGATATTTGTTCTCAAACTAAATTTGGAAAACTTTGAATAGTCGATCAGTTGGAAAATCAATGAGCCAAGTTTGTAAGTCAATTTTCTGTTTACGTGGTTTTGGCAGCTAGTTGACACTGAGTTGGTTGTTTATGTAATAACTGAAGCTGATGAGTTGAAGAAAACAAATACTACTTACAGAGTTCTAATATATGCTTGGCTATTTCCTCAAGTAATTTTTATCCAGGTTCTATAATTTTCCTCATTCTTAGCTTGTTTTTCTATACAGATAATACAGTACAACGTAAGAATACAAGTCAGTCGATACATTGTCCTAGGAGTCGAAACATTGTCAGCTCCATACAAAGGTCAACTACTGAAATGAAACCTTCAACTAGCAGTAGAAGTAGAACACCGAAATTTTCTCCAGTTACTGAAAGCTTAGATTTAGCTACAAAATTGACAGTAATAACCAAGTCACCGAAATCCTTCACAGCCTGTCAATCACTTGCTAAGCATACAATGATTGCAGCATTGAATTGTTCCAGAGCATTTACCACTAACCTGAAAACAACATGTACAAATCATAATTCAGATGTTGGCATGAATAATATTCTACAGTCAAAGTTTCTGGAAGATCATTATCCAGAATTTACAGATGTTATTCATTCTTCACCATCAAGTCCTAAAAAGTACTCAGAAGGTTCAGTGATGAAAGTAAGTGTTCCAATATCAATTATGTAAGAAACAATAATAGCTTTTAAGTAATTACTAGGTACGTGAATCAACTTTTCAACCTGTATCTATACAGTTTAACATTATTATGAGATTTATCACCATTGTGATAACGAAGCTATCAGTGGCTATTTCAAGCTTTGAAAGTGAATTCAATCCTGCCGGTCGGTGTTAACTAGCGACTGAACAAAAACTATTTCAACTTTTACAAAGTAAACAAAGGTTCTTTTCTGTCTATTCCCTTCAGTAGAATAAACATTAGAAAGCATGATAACACATATTTGTACTATAAGAATCTGCCAGCTGAACTGTCAGTTAAAGACAATAATGATGATGATACTAATAATAATAGTAATAAAGCTTATCAAAGTGAAAACAAACGTTAATACTGATGAAGATTTTAAAAGTAATGATACTGCAGCTAATGACTTGCCGAATAGCTCTGAGAAGCCACTCGCGATGGTAGGGCACAGTCAGTCAGTCAGTTAGTCAGCCAGACAAACAGACGAAACCAACGTGGAATCTCACACAGAAGTCCGTTGCTTCTAGCTACCATACTTCACTGTAGTATGCAAAGTATAACTGGGTAGGCAATGACTAATATCAACCTGGACAAAAACGAAGGAGTGAGGAAGTGGGGGTTGAGATGGAAGTTGAAAATAAAGGTCGTTAAAATGTTAAGTTTTCATAAAACACAACAAAGAATAAATGCAGCTGTACTATTGAGATCGATTTCCACCATGTCACCAAGCTTCTGCAATTGTTAGTTCCTGTCGTCTTGGGGACCCCAACCAAGCAGTCCATACCTCCTCGCACGACCCATACAAACAACTAAAGGCTCCTTTGGTTGATGTCACGCCTTGGTCTAACCACCTTGAGACTCCTACAAAAACAGTCCTACTTCCGATAAAATTGTATGTCAGGGTAAGCGGTGGCTGAATGTGAGAAACAGGGGAGTCAGACGTATCTGAGGTTAGGTCCATTACTACATCTATTAAGAAATTAAGCAAAAACGGTGACATTGGTTATCGCTGGCGGACACCACTAATTGTCGTCAAATCTGATGACAATGCTCAATAAACTACAGTCTAGTCTTAAAGTACCACTGACGTTAAAAAGGTACGAAACAAATGCCAAATGTATTCAGATTTCCTCTCTAGGTATTGAGAAAACTGCATTTTGTCAACATCTTAGCCTAAGAGGACAATGTTTTCTGTGTACTCTAAGTCAACCACGAGCCCTCCAAGGTGTAAACCAGTCCCCGTAAAGTTGCAAGTATGTATAGTGATGCATATTAGCACATCTACAACAAAGTTACTTAGGGATGATGACAGTGAGCATCCCTGATGGACGTCATCAATTTTAATCACTTCATATTACAACCATTCACATGTCTTTAGAACCAATACGATGAAGAATGGCATTCATCTGTGAAGTATAGGATGAATATAGCTTCCAGACTGATGGTAGGACGACGCATATTAAACTCCTAGAAGTGTCTACAATGTCCTGTGTTACTCGGATGGGCAGAGTCGGTAAGAAGTTTAACTCGACCTGGGTTTCATGCGTGTTGATATTCTTCAGGAAGGCATATCTGTAACCCGACGAAACTGATGTTCTGAATAGGACTCGAAACCACGTCACTTAGTGTTGTAGTCGGCGACTTTACCATTGAGCTATTCGGGCTACGAGCCATCTCCTGCAGGTGTGGGTTACATGCAGTGATTGGTCACATGAGTGCAACCAATTTCATGCTTTTGGGTCCTAAATACAGACCGAATTTTATCGACCATATTGCAGTGGGACCACGAAGCTAGGAGGCTTGGCATAGCGGTACACATTGATAGATGTTAGTTAGATAAAAGAAGTCGTCAAAATGACATGCTGTACATAGGTTTCATACTTGTCGGCACTCGTCAGCAAGGCGTAGCTTTTACCTCGACGAAACTGATGTCCAGCCTGACAACAGAAGACAAACAACAGAAACCCACGTTTGACCTAAGTTTCACATTTTATGATACTCACCTTACTATTAACCTAATAAAGCTACACAAGTGACTTCTCAGGCAACTCGATGGCCTAAATGAATACGTCTCTGGATGATGATCTATGTGCTTTTCATACTCAAAGTCCTATTTATAGTGCGTTGATCAATCTGATGTTAATAACCTACTTAGACCTCAGTAAGAAGAACGAGATTCCAACCTAAGGCTTAGGTAGCTGTAAAGCAAATGATTTTGCCACCAGATTAAAATTTCGTGTTAGTAATCATTTCTAAAAATTTGTTAGATGCACGCCATTAGTGGGTGGATAAACAAGGTGGAAGGATGTGAAGTTTATAGTATTCAACTAATGAGTTTTATGATGAAAAACACATTTGGTCAATGAAGCTTAGAAGTTAAGAAGGCAAAAACCAACGAGTTGGCAGAACAAGCAGGGCAGCAAATATGGTACTTCCTTCTGGAGAACGTAGCGAAGACAGAGGTGATGAAGACACCCAACCGCCACCAACAACAGCAACAACGAGAACCAATCAGCATCAGCAGGAGAAATATAAAGCAGGTTATCTCTTTCACCAACCTACCACCCCACACATACCTACCTACCTACCTACCTACCTACCTACCTACCTACCTACCTACCTACCTACCTACCTACCTACCACCACACACCTACCTACCTACCTACCTACCTAGGGGGCAGCATCGTTTCAACTACAAGTGGCACACGCACACGCATACACACAGATGAGGATGCCATGTGAAAGTCAGCCAGTCAGTCAGCCAGCCAGCCAGCCAGGATTGGAAAGACAGCAGGACAGGCCTCATTCCATTGATGTGAAATCAGTATGGAGATCTACTGCACTACACTACACTCAGCATAATGCGTGAACAACATCCGGATTCTCAACACTAAGTCAGTCAAGTAAGTCAGTGCTTCTACTATGTGATGCTTGAGATACTCTCCACCTTACGAAATGCATTCCCAACAAACTACACACATTGATCAAGAGTTGCTGGCTACGCTCGTTCGATATTGCATATCAGATGGCTAGGGAGAATGAGTAAGGGGGAGGTGTGGCCTGGCAATAAGCCAACCAACCAAGAACCTGCTGTCCAACAAATATGTGGAAGAAGAGAGTGGAGATAGACTGAGAAGTTGTTTTCGGGACATCATGCACCAGACCAGGTGAGATCAGGTGAGGTGATCGAGTGGAACCGGAGTAGGAAAGGACGAGTTTGGTGTTTGAGGGTGACATGGATGAGATGGATGAGATGGTGTGATGAAGAAATGGAAGGTTATTGTGTATTCGTTGACCAGGTGGAGCGAGGCTGGATAGAAGAGATTGGAATGGCGACTTGTTAGTGAAGCCATATGTTCCACTAGGAGCTTAAAGGACAATAATTATAATTGATTCCAAGATGGTATTCATCATGGAATGGCCACAGTTTGAGATCTTGGGAACACACGACAGCTATTTCGTCTAAATATGTTTTAGTATGCATAACTTTTAGTTGCAGTTTCTATGCAGCCTAAAATTGTGAAGTTTCGGAGGTTCCTTTTTCTCCGGTTCCAATATTTGCTCATTTGTCTGTCGACTTTCTGTAGGAAATTTAAAAACACTTCAGATATACCTTGTTTCTGTGTGGCAGCAAACATTCCTTACCGACTGCTTCCAGTCAACTTACAACAATCAAAGTTCGAAGTGGTGTTGAAGCTTCTTCTTCATTGACTATACCGGAAATTGACCGATGAAACTCGTCCAGCATATAGGACTGGACAACATGAAACTGGTTACTGTCCAGTGACTGATCAATGTTCATGATCCAGTATTACAGGAGGTCAGTCATCCCCGTAACAGTTCGATGGTAATGTGTCTAACTGAAGGGCTGATGGAGCACTGCTCTACTCAAGGTAGGAAATACAATTTTACAGAAGGGGGTCACTGTGTTTCGGTTGGTTGACCTTGCCATATACGTGGATATGAGTGATAATTCAGAAGTAGTATTCATCGTGGACTGATATCAGTTGGGGAACCAGTGAAAATATGGGAACACTGGACACCTGTCTCGTCCTAGTATCGGACTCCTCCTCTTCAGTACGCACCCACGACCCGGTTATGGATGGGAGTGAGGCCGTTCATGTTTCACTTCGAACACGTTAACCATTCAGCCACTCGGTCGGTTTCCCCCATTCCCAAATAATTCCCCATTCATCTCAAAAATATATACGTGTTAATTATTTGAAATTTGTTATCAATTGGTTTTAAATCTTGGAATGTATGAAAGTGTAAGTTTTTAAAGCTCAGTATGCAAGTGGGACTTACTCCACATTATAATCATAACAAATATTAAACAAGAATGATCAGTTTTTGTAGCTATGACAGCCTCTTAGTTCTTAGCCTAGTGATCTATTCAATTTGTTGAAGAGACTGGTATTTTAACTATTTTGATGAGTAAATCAACCAATTTGATTAAAGCCAATTTGTTACGAAATTTTAACTTACCTTGGATTTAAGCGTAAATTGAGTGATATAGTCGGACTCCTCAGCAGTGCGCACCCACGACCCCATCACGCCAGGGATCGACTCCGCCACCCTCGGGTTCCGCGGCCAGCACGTTACCACTGAGCCACTGGGTCAGGACCCAGTGCTCCATATTTCCAACTTCTGTAAGCTCACAATATAGCGCAACCGCCACCCAATGTCATCGTTGAGTATCTGTCCCTGCGGCCATCAGGCTTTGACTTCCCCGGTCACGACTTGTCATTGGAACCTCGGGAATACTTCTCGAAGCTAGTCATCGTGAGCTAACAGAGGTTGGAAATATGGAGCAATGGATTCTGACCCGGTGGCTCAATGGTAACGCGTTAGCCGCAGGACCTGAAGATGACGGGTTCGATCCCTGGCGGGGTGGGGTCGTAGGTACACACTGCTGAGGGATCCCTACTAGTCGGACGAAACATCTGTCGAGTGCTCCCAGGCTTCCTTTGTTCCTCCAACTGATGTCAGTCTACGATGAATAACAACTTGAAATATTTCCAAATCTTCACCTCTCCCTCAAAATTCAATTGTTGTTTTTTACCAATATTGCGGATCATTTTTACCCTCCATTACTTATTTTATTGTATTTCAAAAATTCGCATTTTAGGATACAAAACCGACTGTAAGTATTCATGATACTTTGAAGGAAGGCGATAACTCAGGTGTAAAATTGTCTCACATTGATAAAACTTCTCCCAGTAAAAGTGGTAATATTACTGAAATTACTACAACACGTGAAATTCTGCCCGACATTAAGAGACCAATACAGAGCTACAAACCGTCTAGACTTGTCAGTTCTACAGAAGCAACAAGACAAAAGAAATCTGATACATGTTTGGATGATCAGGTAGGTAACAATATGATTTGACTAAGCTTTTATTTAAAACAATGAGTTCCCTTTATAAACTTTGACAAAACAATAAGAAGATGTAAATTGTCTGAATCGTGTAATGTGCATTTGCGCAACACATTTCGAACTATATAATCACACACGTACTTGTCATAGGTATTTATATAAAAACTCATGAAGATAAGCTGGGTGAGAAAATAAAAAGGGGTCAGGTAGGAAGGCTGAATTAAAGGCCGAAAATCAATAGAGCGAAAAACTGCGTACATCCAACTTGGTTTTCAATAGTTGAATTTATCAAGGAAGATTTAATGTGACAACAGATTGTTTATGAACATATAAAGATGGTTTCAACTTCCTAATAGCTAAGGCTTCAACAAATTTCAGGATCCCTCCCCAACATGTTTTGTAAATAGGTGTAAAGGAAGTAGCCACATCAATCTTGTGACCTGTCTCAACGATATGTTTGGCGATCGAAGAACTTGGATGTCTGCTACCAACATTTATAGGTTCAGGTAATTTAATTTGCTTCTGAAGCCACTTTGGAATATGTTCCGAGGCCCTTACTTGAATGGATCTACTAGTCCTCCCTATATATATATATATATATATATATATATATATATATATATATATATATATATATATATATATCACCACATGTACATTTAAATTGGTAGATACAGTGGAATGTGACATTGTCGTTCACATGCTGCAGGGATTTGGGGGAATATGCGGGCTTCGTTCTTTCGATTACTCGAACTCTGGCTGCATAATAAGTCCTTCTAACAGCAGCGTTAAGTCTCTGCTTAAGGATTGCACTATGACAGTCACCTTTGTACGGAAGGCTGATGAAGATATCCTTCTTTGGGACAGACTGACGTTCTAGTTTTGGCGCTCTGGTAATTTTGTTCTGCCTTTATGTGTTCATAAACAATTTGTTGTCACATTAAATCTTCCTTGATAAATTCAACTATTGAAAACCAAGTTGGATGTACGCAGTTTTTCGCTCTATTGATTTTCGGCCTTTAATTCAGCCTTCCTACCTGACCCCTTTTTATTTTCTCACCCAGCTTATCTTCATGAGTTTTTATATAAATACCTATGACAAGTACGTGTGTGATTATATAGTTCGAAATGTGTTGCGTAAATGCACATTACACGATTCAGACAATTTAAGCTTTTTTTGAAGGATTTGTAGAGATTCGGAAATATTTCAAGTTGTTATTCAGCGTAGTCTGACATCAGTGGGAGGAACAAAGGTAGCCAGGGAGCACTGGACAGCTGTTTCGTCCTAGTATAGGAAACAGCTGTCCAATACTCTCAGGTTTCTTTTGTTCCTCCAGTTGGTGTCAGTCTACGATGAATAACAACTTGAAATTTAAGCTTTTATTGTTTTCATTTTGGGTCTTATTTGGACTACACATATTCCCATCAGGGTATCCGCAAAAAGGATAATAAGGGTCGGGTGTAGAGTTTACTTACCTCTTCGTGTTTATTTCATATAGGGTGAACACCAAACACAGAGAAATAAGAAGGTAAAATGAACAAACAAATCAAGTTTATGTATTTTTGAGATGAATGCGGATTTCTTAATTTTGAAGTAGTATTCATCATGGACTGATATCAGTTGGGGAAACAGTGAAAATATGGGAGCACTGGACACCTGTTTCGTCCTAGTATTGGACTCCTCCTCTTCAGTACGCACCCACGACCCAGTTATGGATGGGAGTGAGGACGTTCATGTTTCACGTCGAACGCGTTAACCATTCAGCCACTAGGTCCCTTTTCCAGTGGTTGACAATTCCCAACTTCTGTCAATTCACGTCGTAGCGCGACTTGCTTCTAGATGGAAGCCGTGACCTGTGAGGTCAACCAGTCGGAGTAAAGTGGATGCTAACTGGAGTCCTTAGGTGATAGTCGCGCTATGTCGTGAATTGACAGAAATTGGAAATTGTCAACCACTGGAAACCGACCGAGTGGCTGAATGGTTAACGTGTTCGAAGTGAAACATGAACGGCCTCACTCCCATCCATAACCGGGTCGTGGGTGCGTACTGAAGAGGAGGAGTCCGATACTAGGACGAGACAGGTGTCCAGTGTTCCCATATTTTCACTGTTTCCCCAACTGATATCAGTCCATGATGAATACTACTTCTAAATCAAGTTAACTCAAGGTGACCAGTGGACAGAAAACGCATACCTTGATTTCTAAACCAATTGGATCTCATCTTTCAATCATGAATCCACAACAAGAAATTGAAAGTAGATCATAATGATACCGCCAACTGCCTTCAACAGTTAATTGTTGAATTTAATTACTTAGTGGACACTCTCAGATTCATTAGACCCTAACATTGTGGCTGATTTGGCTTTCAAGTAATCAGTCTTACGCTTGAATCCCGCTTAACTTACTCTGATTTACTCAACCGGGTACTGTTACACAACAAGTATGGCTCACAGCTTAGTACACTGTCAACCATCTGAATATCAATTTTACAAGTAGGTTAACATATCATAAGGACTAAACAAGAGAGGAATATATGAAGGAGAAGTGCAATCATGTGTATGAATATGTGTATCAGTATACCACCTGCCTTAGATTTAACTCTCTCTCTAAATAATAATAAATGTTGATGGGTTAACCGAAAAACAACTGATAAGCAATGCATATGTATCAGGCTTAGATTATCTCCTTAGATAAACATCAATTAACCGTAATTCTGTTATCCAGTAGCACTTTCTATACCCTTTTTTTTATGTCTTCATGGTTAAACTGAGTTAAATAACCATCAGAATTCTACTTTTCGTCAATGGGAACAACATCACTCACTGGAGTGCAGACACATCCAGCTGAGGAGACAGTCGCAAATAGGAGGAAATGTTTTATCCTGAACTCTACTCCTAGATACCAAGTAGACTTCATATGGGCAGTATTGAGGGATCTGTACAGGAACTCATCTTCTAACAGTCGTTGATCAATTAGACTCAGCATATCAACGCTTTTCACAGTCGTATCCAAGATCATTGGAAACGAATAACAGTGTATTGTTAATCAATATAGGCATGTGATTACCATAGTGTTCAACAGTAGAATAGAAAGTTATTACTAAAAACGGAAGAAAGTACTACTTTGACCATGATAATGCTAATGAATGTATGTAATGTTTTTGAACACAGAGATCAAGTTGATGGTTGTGAATTGTTAATGATTCGGTTATGTATAGATGCCACAGTTGAAGGCCTTTGAACTTGAGATGAGGCAATTTTTAAATGATTAAGAGGGACTAGATGTTCACAGATGATGATGAGAATTTCAAGAGTAGAGGTGTTGACATTTTCTTCTGTCTTTAGAGTAACCAATCTTGACAATGTTCTTTAACCTTTCTACACACTTGACACTGTGTACTTCCGGTGTATATTGCTGTACAGAACCAAGTAATATGATTGATGTACACTGTAGTTACCAAAATTGGTATCCTGTTCTCAACATAATATTGGATTAGTTATCCATTAGAAAATGTTATTCGCAAGGTAACTCCATGAACTGTATTCCATAAAGATCTTTAGAAGTAATTTCTGAAGATTTTCAAATCTAGTTATTAAACAATTCAACGTAATAGAATTAGCATAAGTCCTTTTACACATTTTACACAGATCAACTGAATGATACATATTTCGTTGATGTAACATGTTTCAAGGAACTGTTGACAGTGTAGACAGGTAAAAACTCACTCCCAGAAGAAAATGTAGTAAAGGAGAGTGATATACTGGAGAATATTTGTAGCTCAGGTGGGTGGTCTTGGTTGTATTGTGTTCTCTCAACTGGGTTATTTAATCGTGAAGCTTTCATCGTCTTTCTGGACGACATCATCAGCACTAACTTCAGTATGAAGTGAGTTGTCAATATCTCTCCGTGAGTGATTTGGTGGCTTGCTCTGATGATGTGATCTATGATTGGTTGTTTCCTTCGACTGTTGTGTCATTGATTGTATAGACTTTCCTGTTGGCTGTTCTTCTGCTTGACCTCTGACCTTTCTGTCGTTTATCATTTTTCTTATTGGCTGATAGATTGGGTCTGACTGATCTGAATGCCAAGCTTCTAGGAATTCTCTGATATTGGTTGTTTCCTCTCTCCGTCCAAAATTCTACGTTGTCAAAATTGAGTTCGCGTCCATAATTATCCACATGCATTGAAATGAATGATGAAATATCGTGACGTTAATAGCCAATTGGTGCTCATACAGACGAAGGCGAAGAGGGTGGCTAATTTGTCCAATGTAGTGTTGACTACAGTTATTGCAGTTGATTTTGTAAATGATATTCAGTTTGCCTTCTTTGGTTGATGCATCCTTTGGTCTGTATAAGTGTTTGCAGGGAATTTGTTGGTTTATGAGCCACACTAATTTTAAGTGGTCTCATAATCTGTCTTGATTTCTGATATATCCTTTATGTATGGTAGGACGATGTGTTTATTGATTTCTGTCAATGACTTTGTAGTTGGTGATGCACGGGATAGGTATCTTGTGATAAAGTTTCGTGGGACAGTACAGCTTGAATCGTAACCGTCTCAAACACCTTTATCTCAATTGAAAAGTTTGAACAACGCAACAACAAAGACATTTGCAGAGTAAGAAGAAACTCATTTTACTTCAAAGACTTTCATCAACTGCAAACAGCCTACAAGTGAAATGAAGTATTACTATTCGTAATAATAATAACATAACATACTTTAAATATGTAGAAATCAGTGAAGATTTGCAATCCTGGATCAACAATAAGGTAGTGAATGAGTTAAGAAAACACACAATTAACAGTTACAAATCTTAGTCAAATTCAGTGACAGCTGCATGATTAAACAACTCAGCTCAGAGAACACAATACAACCAAGACCATCCACCTGAGTTATAAATATTCTCTATCATTTCAGTGGTAATTTATACATATCCAACGAGATAAAAAATTCTGCAGCTGTGGAGTGGAAGGGTGGAAAACAAACGCAAATCAGTTTAGAAGAAGAGACAGTTTAAGAGCTAGTAGGTTACGTAGTTACATGAAAAACTTGAAAATGGTTAAGTGATTAAATTCAGTAAGTAATTAATGAAGAGATGATGTAATCAAAAGAGAAGGGAACACTATATACATACATACGCAAAAAGTTATATACAGTTATCAAGGCATAGAAAGGTTAATTACAGTCTCCAACTGAGTACATAGATCAGGTTAAAAATGTTTACTGTTGACAGTATTTGAAAACCGTAATAAACATGACGTTTTTTGTTTGTTGATTAGTCTGAAGAACTGAGAAACTTCTATTTGATGTCTGTTTCAATCAGGTAGCTAGCGATTAGACTGGTACAGACTTTACTACCCTACAGATAAAGATTTCTCGCAGTATGCTTATAAAATGTAGTAGATACCCTTCTATCGGTCCATCCTATGTACTTGTTTCCGCAACTTCAGGTGAATTGATATACGCAGTTGGAGGTGATATGAGATGGGTATTTGTCTACTTTCGACTGTGTTATTGAGCATAATGTATTGTAAACTGAGATGAATCTAGCAGCAGGAAAGCTCCTTCTCAATGCAGCTTTTAATCTTCTGTCTATTCTTTCAGATGTCTCATCACATTGGGTGCTAGGCGAAGGAAAGCAGGCACCTTTCAACACTTAGATGTTTTGATTTCTCAGTAAATTATTTTCCATATTTTATGACCTATTTCTTCGGATATCTATTCTCTCTAAAAAGCCTTCTCAATTATACCGAATTGTTTTTCTTGTTTATCTTTTGAGCACAGAGTTTTTATTGTAGCAAATAGCATCCACTCCACAGCTCCAGAATTTTCTATCTCATCAGATGTGTATAAATTACCACTGAAATGATAGAGAATATTTATAACTCAGGTGGATGGTCTTGGTTGTATTGTGTTCTCTGAGCTGAGTTGTTTAATCATGCAGCTGTCACTGAATTTGACTAAGATTTGTAACTGTTAATTGTGTGTTTTCTTAACTCATTCACTACCTTATTGTTGATCCAGGATTGCAAATCTTCACTGATTTCTACATATTTAAAGTATGTTATGTTATTATTATTACGAATAGTAATACTTCATTTCACTTGTAGGCTGTTTGCAGTTGATGAAAGTCTTTGAAGTAAAATGAGTTTCTTTTTACTCTGCAAATGTCTTTATTCCTATTTTGCTCAAACACATTCGTTGGGATCATTTCTTCAAACAGTGGTTATAACGTAGTCGCTGTTGTGTAGTATTTTCCGAAGATTTTGACTTAAAATAGTGCCCAGCTTATTAGAGAAGCGTTTACCAATGCTGGCGAAACCTAGAATAAGCACTGGACCAAACACTGTGATCTATTTTACCAGGTATCATTGAGTAAGGAACCAAGTTACCATACCTCATATCAGCACATCAAGTGAAAAAAGAACAAGATGAGAGACAAAGAAATAAAGGAGAATTGGTCAAAAGCAGCAGAAAGTAATAAGAGAGAATAAAGGGGAGGAGAATAAGAAAATATTGAATCCAGTATGACGACTAACATGAAGATACAGCGTCGATACGTCTGCATCACTAAGATCGATTCTCAGCTATGGTTTCTGTTATCATGCAGACGCCCATCTGGAAGTCAACATTTCTCTACATGACTCATGCCAACAGTCAGAGGCTTCATGTAGTGATGCCATGTTTTAGTCTGGCCGCCCCTCCCTCCACCTTTTTCAGCCAGAACTTACTTCAGCTGACATTACGCAAGGAGACGGACGGTGACTAGACACATGTTCCAGCCATCTTAGTCGATCAAGGTTCACAACCACATCTCCCTGCAAAAACTCCGCACCTGCCTTCTGCATTACTGACGCGATGACACCACAACACATGGCCTATGCTACGAGGGCAACGGTGATTAGATACGTGAAGCCTTCTCATGTTCTTCAACTTAAACGGCCATGATTTTCAGTCATACAGTAAAACAAAGTGAACTGAAGCACAGCAAAATCAAACCTTAATAGAAAATGGGATATTACGACTGCATCATAGATAGCGTAAGTTGGCTAAAGCCAGCCGAACTTTCTGCAGCCATGGGGAGATTTTGATGGCCACTGAAGCACCAGGACTGATCCAACGTCCTAGGTAGGTGAAGTGTTCAACGCAGTCAACTATTTCACCTTCTTTTATTGGCCAGGGCACCACAGAAGACCAGTTCATGAGCAACCATATTTTACCAGTAACTGTCATGATATTCTGTACTTGGATAGAATGCCTAAGGAGATAAACACTGAGTTGTTTTTTGTGATTTTTTCTATAAATTCCTCCTTTTCAGAGTAAAGTTTCTCGAAAACTTAAAGCACAAGACTCAAGAAATTCAGATGAAACTAAACCGTGCCCAGAAACATCGCATGCACCATCTTTGACAAATAGTCAACACTTACCAGCTGATATTATCCTAAAGGAAAGACAAGATTCGCTTATTCCTCAACATTTAGGAATTGCTGATTGTGCTAGAGGCTCTGTCGTGTCTTGTAAGTAGATCCTATCTTAATCGTTTTATTCTGAAATATTTTATTTTTAGTGAATTCATTAAGGAGGTAGGTTAAGGGCCTAGTCGCTCTACCAAAGTGTCAACTAATGAAATACAGGTTCCTAGTTAAGTGTGAGTTTATTCTACTCAAAGTTTTCACGTCAACACATAGACTACGTTGTTGAAATTGAACTCATTAGGCTGTTCACCTCTTGTTGAAATTCAGTTGGGGCTAGACACTATTTAATGGTTCCAAAAGGAGAGGGTACAAGTGTACGCTGCCTGTCTATGTTTTCCTAAGCTGATTTTAGCCGGTAATCATAGCTGAACAAAAAATAATCACCTGGTAACAAAGTATTCAATCAAAATCAAACATCCTCTTTGATACTGTGTATAGTAATGATGGACAGTGGCTAGCAGTGGAATATAGGATGTGCATTTAGTCCTATTTGGGACTCGTCAGCTGGATGTATCTGCCTCCCAGTGAGTGATGTTGTTCCCGCCGGGACTCGGACTCGGGAGCGATCATTTCAAACGCGAGAGCGTTGTCCACTACACCACCAAGCCAAGATAGCAGGAATAACAGTAATCCTTTTTGATACTACTTATCAAGCGAACAGAGGATAGCTAAAATGTTTCGATTAGATATCTTGTTGAATAGATCTAAAAGTTGTTAGAACAGACAAGAACATAGTTAATTGGTCAATTTTTTCTGCGCAAAATATGATTTATGATTTTTGAGTCATTAAACGCGGAACTCATAGCTAGCTGGGGTCAGAAAACAGAAAACATCAAGGAGCTTTGACAGACAATATGGTTAAGATGTATAAACCATATTAGAAATTGCGTAGGTTCATTGGATGCGAATAAACAACTTCTAGAAACGTTATTAAGGGAAAGTTTGTTTGACAAAATGAAGAAGCCAAGTGAACAACAGTCAGAAGTACACGTAAAAGAACAACCAAGATCATTGAGAGTTTGACAACCTACACAATAAGTTCAAGTGTTTCCTCCTTTGAAGATATACAGGAAATCATAAGATTAAAATCTAGATATTAGAATGAAGAGTGTGTTCTGAATATCTTCCTTTAACCTTGATCAAAGGTAGCGTAATTCTCATTCGATTGGTTGATTATTAGCATTGTTTAAACAGTTATGTCATTGACATTTTTTTATCAGTCCATTATTAACGAGTGTCTGAGGATATTACTTGGGAGTTATTGTTAGTTTCTGTCTTTTTTTTCGAGTAATAAATCTTGCCTTTTCATTCTCGCTTGTTGGCACTCATCAGTAACCTCTATGGAACTGATGTCTTGCCTGGGGTTCAAACCCGTGTCACCCAATTCTACGGGCTATTCGATTCGCTACTTACCTTCCATTTGACTGAATGAGATAATTGTTGTCTAATTCTAAGCAGTGACCACATTCTGTCCATCAGTTTGCAATGCGGTCACCAGGTTAGGACATTTACAATATCCTTGTAAACAGTCATAAGAGTTAACAAGACTAGTTTAGCAGTCAAAGTTGTTGGTAACAGTTAAAAGCATACTTTTTTCCTTTATTCACCTTAACAGGGTCTGGTGTTTCTAATATTTCAAAGCCTAAACGTCCTTCAGTATTTTCATGCCCTGAAGCAGAATTTGAATCACCCAGATCAAGTGTTATCAATCCATCTTTAAGTGAATTAGTGGCAAATAAAAGAACACGACCAGGTGCAGTGGTCACTTCTTCAAGACGATCAAAACGACGGTAAGTGTGTATGTATGTGCCATTTATCATACATGTCGGCAAGAAACTATCCTTAGCTTAGGTTTTATACTCATTGCAACTCACTAAACTGACATATGTGTAACCTTCAAAGAACTCAATATCCATTACAGATTCAAACAAGCATCAATTAATCATTATCGAAGTCACCTGTCTTTTCACTAAAAACGATCCAGAACATATCTGACTATACACAGGACTCGATTGTATATGTGCATATATAAATTGTCAGGTAATAACATATGTAGAAGTCAAGTCGTTAGTACTTATCGAAGTGATGATTGAAAGTGAAAGGAAAATTTGGCCCGCGGCCGGATTCCAACCAGCGATCACTGCGCTTACCACTCGATGCTCTACCAACTAAGCTACGAGGGATTTCCCCTAACCCATGGTGATTCAACTGAAATAAAAACGTATTAAGCAGTCGGACCTCGTCGCTCAGTTGATAGAGCATCAGGCTGGACAACTAGTAGTCGCTGGTTGGAATCAGGCGGCTGTCCAAATTTTTCATTTCACCTTCAACCATCCATCACCTAGTACCAATACTAGTGTGGTAAACCACAGTTATCTCAGATACTCAAAATGAAAACCAATATTCATTGCTTTTCTCACTTTGTTCTACAATTAAAAAACTAATTCGACTACAGATCAGCATACGGGTGTATATTGCAATGTTCCAACATACAGAGTAAAGTAGGTAGTAAAAAACGGCGAAATTTTAAAATGTATAGATAACTGAGTTACAGAGCAGTAACTGATGAATATACCTGTAAAGAAAATTTGAAGTGTTTATAATAAGATAAAAATAATTGACCAGGTTATGGAGGAAATCAGAACAGCATAGAATGATTGACAGCTCAATTCTTGAGGATCTGATCAACTCTAACCACTCTTTTCTCTTCATCAAAATCTTCCTTCAAAGTCATTTATAAAGTCGAATTAAAGATTTCAAAGGGAGTGGAGATTCGTGAGTTGAATTGAAAAGAAGTCTTGACAATTCATCGGTTCAAGCCTAATCTCTTTGTACAAAAGAGAGATATGTTTAATGTGTAATTTTACCTTGGTCATAATTTTCTTAAGGCATTTCATTTAAATTGTGTTTGTTGAGTGTAAGCGCAGGCCAGGCTAGAGGGAAATGCAATATGATTTAAAGACAGTAAAAAAACGGACTTTTCTTCTTAAATTTGTCAGTAATAAGGTGAGATATATTTACACATGGAGAATATGAAGGTTTTTTGGGTAAATGAGAAGTTGGGAGTAGTCATTAGTTTATTGAAGGTAAACAGAGGAATAACAAATGCTTGAAGATGTCCTTTGTGAATGTACAGTTCAGGTCTGATCATTGTAATGGCGACAGCCTCAGCTATGATGAGTAGGTGTCGGCTAGCTACACGGTACTAGTAATAATAATGATAATAATAAAAATAATTCATTTTATTCCAAACAATCTGAGGTGTAATTTGGAATTCTCTCCATTATACCTTGCAACAACAACAACATATATGCATGTATATACTCCTTTACAACACTTCCAATTGTGTTATTATACAAATGTAAGTAGTGTAAACAATATTAAAAAGGAGAATACTTTTCATTTTACCCAGTGGTCTCTGGTTCAAGTCCGGCCGTGATCCAGATTTTCATCTTACCTTCAATCATCACACAATACAAATTGCTAATTAAATTGTTGATTGAAGTGAGATTGTTAACTGTTACAAAATTGATATGTGAGTTCTGTTCTGACACCCTGCCATCCTCACTTATTATGCGTGCTAGTTAAGGTACAGTCGAATTCCTATACTTAGCTGTAAGAGAGTGAAGTTTTGTGTAGTTTCTTCTTCTCGTCCCTGAAAGGAGATACAAGGAGAAAGAGAGAGCTGTGAATAAAGTTGATGCTCAGTGTCAGTTAAAATTACTTTAGCTAGTTGCTTGCTACAATTTAAATGTCTATCAAGTACAATGTTAATCAACTGAGTCAGAGGCACACCATTCACCCTGCTGACGCCTTTCAAAGCCCTACACAATATAACATGGTCCTCTTTTAGAAGATAAGGAAAGATTAATGGGCAACAATAGAGAATAGGTAAAATGTAGGAATTAATAAAATGTAAAAGTAGAGGTTGAGTTATACTAGACAGTTTCACTTTCTTTATGTTATACTTCAACAAAATATGAGGCGACCAACAGATATCAGAGGTAACACTCGATTTACTTTCTGCAGAAATAGCATCAATGCAACAGCCTGGCGTCATAACACGTCAGCAGGTCAAACAAGTCATCTGAAGTTAAAATCTTCAGTCTGACATTTAGGAGGGTTTAAGTTGAGACCATTTGAGAGAGATCATTGGTCGATGGGAGACAGGAATCGAATAAATTGACGGCAATGTCAGTAAGAGTTGAGTGGAATAGACATCGTTAGACCATTAGTATACTTAATGAAATTGGTTTCAACATATTAAGGTTAATCGTGTAGACTGCTTCCTAAGAAATATACAATGAAGGGATCGTCTGCACTAGCTATTCAAGAAAGTTGAATCTTCTGTATCAGATAGTTCACTCGCTTCACAACTGCACACAAGCTTCCATCTCTCCCTTATATCATCTCCTCTATGTCACCCTCGCCTCCGAAGCCCAGCTAGTCGTTTCCCTTTTGAATTCCACTTGAGGGTCTGGCGCGTGATGTCCCCAGTCGGCCTTCTCAGTGTATGCCCAATACAATCCATCTCCACTCTCTTCTTCTGTATATTTGTTGGGTGATATGTTCTTGTTTCGTTGGTTCGTTACCAGGTCAGAGTGAGTTCCTTGTTGCTTAATCTTACTATTGTGGCCATCTGATCTGATCTTCACTACCGGGCATAGGCAGTTGCTGGTGAATGTCTGCAGTTTGTTGGAAGTGCTTTTCATAGCGCACCAAGTTTCTGAACCATATAGGAGCACAGACTTGACTGACTTAGTGTTGAAAATCCGGATCTTGTTCCTTTTGCTGAGTGCAGAAGATCTCCATACCGATTTCAGGCTAATGAACGCCCGTCTTGCTGTGTTTCCGATCCTGGCTGGTTGGCTTTGACATCTTCATCTGTACCTGTGCCGCCTGTAGTTGAAACGATGCTGCATACTAGGTAGGTGAAAGAGACTACTTCCTTTACGTTTCTCCTGTTGATGGTGATTGGTGCTTGCTGTTGATGCTGTTGTTGATTGAGTATCTTCATCACTTCCGTCTTATCTACACTACATTCACTTGAAGTCCCGCCTTCGCTGCCTCTTCTGTCAACCTATTGGTTTTTGCCTGTAGATCTTCGAGTTTGTGCAACATTAGACATAAATCATCGGCGAAACCAATAATAATAATAACCGAAATGGATCTGAAGTGACACATCAACTTGTCAAGACATTTTATATGAAGAATGAAAATAGGGTGGGGTAAAATAAACAAATTAATAAAGAGGAATAATATATTTTCAGGTCTCCTCTTTTGGTATTAGAAAACGAGTTAAAGTATACCAAAGCTGATGGTTTAAGGTGAAGACAGATTGTTTTTGAATACACAAAGGCGGATTTGAACTTTCGTATACCTAAGACTTGGATAAAAATACTACAGAATAGAAATGACATAGTCATTCTTAAACCCAATAAGAGATCTGGTTTAGTTGTTTTGAATATACAGGATTATAAAGACAAAATTCTATTCATTCTCCAATGATAGAAACAATTTCATGAAAGACCGTCCAACAGAAGACATCAGAAAATTAGAAGGAAAAGTAACTGTAAGTTTAGTAAAACTTCTTAAACATGAAAGTCATTCGTTAAAATCTGTAGGGTGTGAACATCCAAATTTATATGGTCTACCCAAGATACACAAAGTGAATATCCCATTACGTCCAGTACTATAGATGTATCGCTCCTCAAAGCATAAATTGACAAAATGGCTAGGCCGAATGCTAAGTACAGTTAGAAACCAATTATGTAAATTTGTATGTATGTATGAATTCTTTTGATGTAAACTCTTTATTCACCATCGTGTTTTTAACCAAGACTGTTGATATTCTTTATGATTATATACCCTTGAATATTCCTTCTTTCCCTATCCCTCTGAAATATTCTAAAGAGCTATTACTGCTATATACCCCTATAAGATTCACTTCACTCTCGAAGATAACAAGTTAACAAGTTGATGGTGTTGCAATGGACAGTCCTTTAGGATCATTGTTAGCTGATATCTGTATGTCATATGTAGAAGTTTTGTCTGAGGATATTATCAACAGAGTCACTTTGTACAGGAGATACATTGATGATATCTTAGTTATGTGTAACAAACGCAAGGATGCAAAAGTCTTCTAGATCGACTTAACACTGTACAAAGACACATTAGTTTATCGTGTGAAGCAGAAAATAATAATCGGCTTCCTTTTCTTGACGCGTTATTGATTAGAAGGGAAGATGCGTCGATAAACAAATGAATGTATAGAAAACCTACATGAACTGGACAGTATTGTGAGCTTCATAGTTTATGTCCAATACAATACAAACTAGGTTCAGTAAATCCTTATTCAAAAGAAATATTTCAACGTGTTATTCATCGTAGACTGCCATTAGTTGGAGGAACAAAGGAAACCTGGGAGCACTGGATAGCTGTTTCGTCCTATTATGGGGCTCCTATGATGAATACGATGAATAACAACTTGAAATATTTCAAATCTCCACAACTCCCTCAAAATTCAATTGAACTGGTGCTCATTGGTGACTAGCTTCGAGAGGTGATTCCCGAAGTTCCAATGAGAAGTCGTGACAGGTGGGAGAAAAGCCTGATGGTCGTGAGGACAGTTACTCAACGATGACACTGGGTGGTGGCTGCACTGTGTCGTGAGCTAACAGAGGTTGGAGATATGGATGACTGGGTTCTAACCCAGTGGCTAGCTCAATGGTAACGTGCTGTCCACGAGACCTGAAGGTCGTGGGTTCGTGGGCGCTCACTGCTGAGGAGT